ATAGGATAGATAGGATAGCTAGGATAGATAGGATAGATAGGATAGATAGGATAGATAGGATAGATAGGATAGATAGGATAGATAGGATAGATAGGGTAGATAGGATAGATAGGATAGATAGGATAGATAGGATAGATAGGATAGATAGATAGATAGATAGATAGGGTAGATAGATAGGATAGATAGATAGGATAGATAGATTAGATAGGATAGATTAGATAGATTAGATAGATTAGATAGGTAGATAGATAGATAGATAGATTAGATAGATTAGATAGATTAGATAGATTAGATTCTTAGATAGATTAGATAGATTAGATAGGTTAGATAGATTAGATAGATTAGATAGATTAGATAGGTTGGATAGATAAGATAGATAAGATAGATAAGATAGATAAGATAGATAAGATAGATAAGATAGATAAGATAGATAAGATAGATAAGATAGACAAGATAGACAAGATTGATAAGATAGGTAAGATAGGTAAGATAGGTAAGATAGGTAAGATAGATAAGATAGATAAGATAGATAAGATAGATAAGATAGATAAGATAGATAAGATAGATAAGATAGATAGATAGATAGATAGATAGATAGATAGATAGGTAGATAGATAGATAGATAGATAGATTGATAGATAGATAGATTGATAGATTGATTGATAGATAGATAAGATAGATTAGATAGATAGGATAGATAAGATAGATAAGATAGATAGATAGATTAGATAGATTAGATAGATTAGATAGATTAGATTGATTAGATTGATTAGATTGATTAGATTGATTAGATAGATTAGATAGATTAGATAGATTAGATAGATTAGATAGATTCGTTAGGTTGGATAGATTAGATAGATAAGATAGATAAGATAGATAAGATAGATAAGATAGATAAGATAGATCAGATAGATCAGATAGATAAGATAGATCAGATAGATCAGATAGAACAGATAGATAGATAGATAGATAGATAGGTAGGTAGGTAGATAGATAGATAGATAGGTAGATAGATAGATAGATAGGTAGATAGATAGATAGGCAGATAGACAGATAGATAGATAGATAGACAGACAAATAGATAGGCAGATAGATAGGGATGGATAGATAGATAGATAGATAGACAGACAGACAAATAGAAAGATAGATAGACAGACAAATAGATAGATAGATAGATAGACAGACAAATAAATAGGTAGATAGATAGATAGATAGATGGATAAATAGATAGATAGATAATTACAACTACAACAGCTACAACTACCACCACACTACACTGCACTACTGCTACAACTACAAATACAAATATACTACGCCACATTACACTACACTAATTATATTACACTACGCTAATTACATCTAATTACACTACACTGCGCCATTTACACTAATGACTACAACAACAACTACTACCACAACTACAACTACAATTACAACTACACTACACTACACTACACTAACTACACTGCAGCACGCTACAACTACAAATACAACTACAACCACACTACATTACACAACACTACGATACACTGATTACATGGCATTACACTACAACTACAACAACAACTACAACTACCATTACGTTACACCACACTACACCACACATACTACACTACAATAGGCTACGCTACACTACACCACACCACACTACACTACACTAATTAAACTGCACTACACTACAACTGCAACTACACTACACTACACTAATTACACTACACTACAACTACAGCTACAACTGCAATTACAACGACAACTGCACTACACCACACTACATCCAGCAGTTGTGGTAAGGTGACCACCGCAACCATTGCCACCATTCCAAAAAACAGAACTCCAACCACCTGTTGGTCCATGAGTGGATTCGCTCTGCCATCCGTGATTCGCAACAACCAGCCTCTCCTATGGGTTTCCTATTTTTGAAACTTCCGCCACCGCCTTGTGCGGTACTACTGGTATTACACTGTATTATCGTATGCCACTATATTGAGACAATTATTTTGTGTTATATTGTATTAAATTATTGTGTATTATATAGTATTATCTTTATATTATAATGTTATGTTATATTATATTATATTGTATTGTAGTTTATTGTATTATATTGTATTATATTATATTTTTTGTATTATGTTATAGTATATTATGTTATATTATATTAGATTATAGAATATTAATCTTATATTTAAATTGTATCTATCTTATTTATATTATACTTAAATTATATTTATATATATATAATGTGTATTATATTTATATTATATATAAACTATATTTATATTTATATTCATATTTATATTCATATTTATATTTACATTTATATTTATATTCATTATATTATATCCTGTTATATTATACTATACTGTACTGTATTGTATTGTATCAGATTATACTATACTAATATTAGATTGTATTGAGTTGTATTGTATTCTGTTATATTAATTATAATATATCATATTATACTATATAAAAGGGTCTGTGTCTGGACATCTGAGCTTGAGGCATAACAGAGGTGAATATTGCCATGAGCGTCCTGAAGCGACTGATTACGTTGTGGCAGCGTGCTTGCGACTGATGAGCCACGGCTTCTCAAACGCAAGTCCAAGACTCCAAGAGAGCTCAACAGAGTCGAACAGTGTGAAGTCTTCATCTTTCATGCAAACCATTTTTGATTTACTTGATCAGACATGATCAGACTCTATCCTTCTGAAAGTCTCTGGGGTCGTGGCGCAACCGTCTCCGTGGTCCCTGGGTCCGGGTAGATGCCCTCGCTGTATTCCATGCTAATGGAAACCTCATTGCAGGTTGCCAGAGGCAGGTCACAGGGCAGCACACCCGAGCACACCCGAGCACACCTTGACACCCAGGTTCTAACTTCTGCAGAGACCTGTCGAATCTGTCACCTCGCTGTGGCTCCAACCCCGACCGTCAAAGCCGCGTTCCTTGGAAAACAAGGAAATAAGGCATTTTTGACAGGTGAGCTAGGAGACACCCCGGGTGGGGTTTGATCTTGATTTGATCATCGCTCAGTCCTCGAAGCTGTGTCATCTTCACCGCTAATTACATGTTTCATGGTTGTTTGGATCACCTTACCTTCGAAGTCAAGTCACACCACCGCCATGGCGAATGCATAGGGGAAGACGGAACCATAGATCCCGAAGATGAGCGAGAAGCCCCACCTCTAAGGTGCACTGCCCCACGCTGCTTCAAGTGGTTTCGAGGTCATGAGATTCCGGTGACTGCAGGCTATTCAGATCTATTCAGCAAGTTCACTTGGGTCATCTTGGGTCCGCACTTGCCACCAACATAGTGGCGCATTCTTCAGGGTCCTGGTAGAAGCTCATGACAGATAAGACCGGAAGCCACGACACCCGCAGACTCAGAGAGCCCGCAGTCCTTCAAAGCCTGGAAATGCCTGGAACTTTGACTCTTTGGCCGCGTGGACCTTGAACGCATGCATTCCAAACTGTGAGTTTCCCAACAAAGATGTTGTTTTTGACTGTATCGTTTTCAGACTTTTTCCTGCCATGCTCTGCCATGCTCTGCCATGCCCTGCCTACCCCAGCTGTGTTTCACAGTGCGTAGATCTTTAGGATTGGCGGCATCTATCGCACACCCAGCGGGAACTGCATGCATGATAATGGGCGGAGGACTTTCAGAGCCAAACAGCCAAAAGCACCGTCATGCATACCCCCACAATGAAATACACCACCTGTTTCGTGCTTGAATTTTCAGCCAAAACAGCTTGGAAGGTCAAAAGCCCATCTTGCCATTGATTTTTCCCTCCTGCACTAAAGAGGTCCGTGCCCCGCGCCAGTTGAAAGTTTGGGCGTACCAATCGCGGTGCAGCATGTCACGGTGTGGAGCATGGTGAGCATTCCTTACTGATGCTCCGTCGCGTTTAGGAAGGTCGAACTCACTCGTTAAGATGTGCTGCCATTGCTGCCATTGCTGCCATTGCTGCCATTGCTGCCCACCCTTGTCAGACTTCGGAAATCCATGGGATTCCGCAAGGTACTCGGCTGGCGTAGTCCAGGTACTCGTCCCCGAAAAAACGGATCAACATTTGCTCTTCGTGCGGTATTCTTCCAGCAAAAAAGCGCCACGAGACGAACGCATAAGCAAAGAAGCAGAAGATGTTTCCAAGCAGGACCTGGGTAGACACACTCCACAGAAACCATCCAACATATCCAGGATGGCGGCAAAGGCTGTACACCTCGAGGGAGTTGCAACATTAGCTGCCTTCAGAAATCTCACACTAAAGCATTTCTTGGGACAGAGTTGAGTCAGCTGCAGAGGTGAAGAAGCGGAGCTTTCTGTGGTGAAAGTATATATAATGAAAAATATGAAAATGTGTTAAAGTCTGACGACGAGGCAAGGCACCCCTTGTGTCACCAATCTGTGGGATGATTCCTTGTGACAAGCCACGATGTGGGTGAAATTCGATTGTGCAGTGAATAGCGCTGCCTCCAAGCGCCAGCATCAAACATCAGAAATTGCGATCAGATTGCGATTTATACCCTCTGGTAATTTAACATAGCTATTGAAAATCACCATTTATAGTGATTTTTCCCATGAAAAATGGTGATTTTCCATAGCTATGTTAAATTACCAGAGGGTAATTCAATCAAACTGATGAAACTGCGTAAAACAATGGACGAAATTGAGATGGCAGCCGTTTAGTTGGAAAAACTCAAAAGCGTTGGTCTTTTGGGACGAGGAATCTGTTCTCAAGCCCCATCCGCCAAAGGCCAGCACTCCACCCAGAAGCACAAATGCAAACTGAAAGGTACCTAAGGTGGGCGCCAGTCAGATAGCCCTGTGCAGCTGGCATGCGTCAATCCGATTCCATCATATTCCGTCCCAGTAGAAAAAGCTATGCTATCTCTGGCAATGACTTTCATTTTTCGAATCTTCAAAAAATGTCGCTTTGCATTCAGGAAAAGCAAACGATCTGGTCCCAAAATCTTCAGGGTGCAAAAATAATACTGAGCAAAGGAGAGCCATGAAGACCGACAAGGATCATGAAGAGCATAAAATGCGGCCTGTCTGAGCCAAGAAACGCAGCATGCCCACCGCATGCCACAGCCAGAACTCTAGAATTGCTGCTATGATCGCGATACTATACCCAGCTGCAGGTACTGGCGTCAACATGAATCCACGGAATTCCTTGGGGTCAATCTGCAATGCCAACACCAAATGACACTTAGCTTGGCCCAATGTGATTCGGGCACCCCCCTCTTCACACAAAGGAACGAGTAGAATCAAGAAAACCACAAAGGAACAGTCTGACGACTCGTACGACTCAGCCTCCTGCTATCTCCTTCTCGTGGAAGAGCGCGCAGAAACTAAACTCAGTGAGGTGAAACAAAGCCACCAAGACAAAGAATAGTGGCCTTAGCGTGACAACCACGCTCATTGGAAACCCACAGGCAACGACAAAGGAGTCTCATGTGCACATAGATAGATACGTAGATAGAGATAGAGATAGAGATAGAGATAGAGATAAGATAAGATATTTTGTTATTTAGATATTTAGATATAGAGATTAGATATTGGATATTGGATATTAGGTATTAGATATACACATACTAAGTGCAGGCGAAGCTTCAACTGAGGATGCCCATGCCTTAGCCGATTCTTTTCCTATCCCTATGCCGTGCTGGGGCCTTCCATGGGGCAGGTGCAAGACTCGCGCAAGACGTCACACACCAGTGTACGACAAGCGATAGCAGCGATAGCCTTTTGATGCTTTTTGGATCTGGCAAGCTTCAGAGCTTCACCTCCGAAGCCCATGACACCACCCAGCGCAAAGCAAATGAAGCAAAGCGTAGTCAAGGAATCCACCTGCGCTCAGAGCTGTCACAGCGCAGCAGTCATCAGTCATTATGTCAGGGTCCGTGGTGTCCATGGAAATGCTCAAAACCATCCGCCTCGCTGGGGATCCAATTGGTCCCTGCAAAGAATATCACCTGGAAACAATATGTTGGATAACAGCCACATCAATTAGGTCTCCAGGTTTGCAGGCTTCACAATCTTCACATGCCGAGACGACTCATGCAAAATAATTCAAAATATCTTTGTTGAGCCTAGCTACGGTCAGCACTGTCATGCCTTCTTGTCCGAGTACACCGACTGCGGCATAGCCTGAGAACACCCAAGAAGGAACAAGATGAACAAGATGAACAAGAGGAAATAACATGAAATAACAATAGCAAAGGGAAACAGCATCGAATGATCTGTGTTCAACGAGTTGGACTCAACGAACTCAACGAATTCACGTTGAATTCAGGTTGATTTCAGGAAAATCTGCAGCGCCAGGAAGCCGCAAGCCAAACCGCAAAGAGTAGCGAGTGGGCCGAGCCATCGAATCCTTTGAACAATTGGATCGAGTGCCACTGGCGAGCTATGAAAAATAAAATAAAAGATCAATTAAAAGATCAATAAACATGAGTTATCTTAGTTATCTTCAAGGGGGGGCCGACAATTTTCGGTCCAGCTGCCAACTTGCAGAGAAAAGTTCTTCAGAAGGGCCAAACAAATCATCTGGCGACGCCTAGCGTCCTGGACTTCATTTTAGCCAAGTAGCTGTGTCGCTAGCATCCTGGACCCCATTGCATCCTCTTCCACCTCTACCATCAGCTTGCAAGCGCCCGGCTCAGCTTGATGAAGAGCAACACGGAGGCATGCAGTAGACTCGTCCAACCACCATATATATATATAGTAAAAACAATAAGAATCAAATTCGTCATAATAACAATAATTATAGCCATGATAATACTATAATAATAGTAATCATTGGTGGTATATATTATGCTTCTCTTACCTTCTTTCTCTTTCTCTGCTTCATTCTTGATGCGTCAGAAACATAGGAACAAAAAATGACACGCAAAGCGTCAAGCAAGGAGCACGCTACCAATGTCACGCATTTTTCCTCTGCATGTCCCTTTTCAGCTGAAGTTGGGCAGTGAAACTGTGCACACCAGGCCTTGACTCGGAACCGACGAGAGTCAAATGCCATCTGGCCAAAGTTCCAACTCATCGCTTTGTAGATGTTGGCTGTGAGACTTTCTGGCGCAAGTGCATGACATTGGAATCGTGTGGAATGCAAGGGCGCCACTTACCGTAGCCGTTGTGCACAAACATGTCCGGTTTGGACTCGCTCTTGTCGTATGGACCACTGAATGGCTTAGGCACGTCCTGAACTATCTGAAACTCATTGGTGTCTGCACCTGCATTGCCAAAAATGCAAGCTAAAGGGGCACGATTGTTTCGCTCCCATTTGACCTCAATTCTGAGGTTCGGCGGATCTGCCTCACTTCTCCATCAGCATTCGTTTCAGCCTTGTGCTGTCTGCGATCATTCCAGGATTGCTTCTCATGTCTGGCTTCTCTCCAGTGTAGTAGTTCTTGTGCGTAGACACCTGGGATCAAGTAGGACACCATGGGATGGCACCAGCATGCCGCTTGAACCTGTTTAGTAGCATGATCTGAGGCAGAGGCAAAACGTCGATTGTGAACACAGAATCTGTCCAGGAATTGGATGGTTGAGGCATTCCTTGCCGAATTTCGTGAAATGCAATATCCATGGGCTTTGTCAGGTGGTCAAATTTACAGCGTGTTCGGGATTGGGGTCCGTAACCGTAAATACGCCGATACGCCGATACGCTGATCGCTGTGTTTACGCCGATACGCCGATACGCCGATCGGTGTGTTTGCGCCGACACGCCGTTACGCCGATCGGTGTGTTTGCGCCGATACGCCGATACGCCGATCGCTGTGTGTACGCCGATACGCCGATACGCCGATCGGTGTGTTTGCGCCGATACGCCGATCTCTGTGTTTTACGCTTGTCGCTGCGCTGCATGTCGACACGCCCATTCTGCGCCGATGGCTGTTACGCTGATCGCTGTGTCTGCGCCGATGCGCCGTTACGCCGATCGCCGTGTTTACACCGATATGCCGATACGCTGATCGCTGTGTTTGCGCCGATACGCCGATACGCCGATCGCTGTGTTTGCGCCGATACGCCGTTACGCCGATCGCCGTGTTTGCGCCGATACGCCGTTACGCCGATCGCCGTGTTTGCGCTGATACGCCGTTACACCGATCGCCGTGTTTGCGCCGATACGCCGTTACGCCGATCGCCGTGTTTGCGCCGATACGCCGTTACGCCGATCGGTGTTTTTGCGCCGATACGCCGTTACGCCGATCGCCGTGTTGACGCCGATACGCCGTTACGCCGATCGCCGTGTTTGCGCTGATACGCCGTTACGCCGATCGCCGTGTTTGCGCCGATGCGCCGTTACGCCGATCGCTGTGTTTACGCCGTTACGCCGATCGCCGTGTTTGCGCTGATACGCCGTTACGCCGATCGCCGTGTTTGCGCTGATACGCCGTTACGCCGATCGCCGTGTCTGCGCCGATGCGCCGTTACGCCGATCGCTGTGTTTACGTCGATACGCGGATCGCTTTGTTAGCGCCGATGCACCGTTACGCCGATCGCGGGGTCTGCGCTGCAAATACGCCGAGACGTCGTTCACATAATGCGTGTGCGCGTGTGTGCGTGTGTGTGCGCGGTTGCGCCGATGCGCCGGGTGCTGCGCCTGGGCTGGTACGCTGTTGCTCCGGTCGCTGTGCTGAGGCCGGTGCACCGCGTTTGTCAATATACATGCTGCGACCATCGGCCGAATCAACCGCACAAGGATGCATTGACCCGTTCAACGGCCATTGCATGTTAGCATGCAGCAAGTTCATCAACAGCTGGCAGCCAAGTATTTGAGAGTTGGTGTCTATAACCTTGCAATAGGACCTGGGACGCATGACTGCTTACAAAACACAATGTGTTCCCTGGAAATTTACCACAAATGAGCTTGGCATCATTTGTGAAAGTCAATGACGCATTGAACTTTGCATGATCCAAGCTTCCATTGCTCGGAAAAATCTATGCGCTTAAGGTATAATGTAACCCAGTCAGTCTAAAGGACAAGTTTAACGCGGCCGTTCGAATAAAGGACCTAAATGACTAAAGTTCCCAAAAAACTCATACCTTGAAAAGATTCTAAAATTCCGCACTGTAAGACCAGCAGAAGTTACATACAGCGAGAGCACTCTAAGAAAATTTGTTTACAAACACAGTGTCTTTTTCTTTTTTTGCACAAACCTCACAAACCTGATTTTGCGGGGTTTTCACGGCCTTCTCAGGGGGTTTTCACTGGTTTTTCACGGCCTTTTCACTTTTTTTTCACGGTATCTTTTTTTCTCAAATCTGGAAAGTGCATCGTCGATTCTTGAAGCATGGGATATCTTTGGGGGTGGAACCTTGCTCGGCTAAGTCGCACAAAAATACGACCTCAAAAATAATCGCATAGAGAAACCCTCAGTCCTGAAGGCCTGGTTTAACAAGCCCGTTAGCAAAGGCCTAATTTAGCGAGGACCTCGCATTGCAAGCCGGTGCTTGATTGGCAAATTCAAACAGACAGAGTGGGCATAAGAGCGATTGAACTCATTTTTCTTCAAATGTGGTTCAGCAATGCCTCGTTTGCAAAACAACTCCTGAAATTACCAGAAATCAAAATTGCGCGCGTTTGAGAGTCTTTGCGCGCAGGTGCGGGAAATTTGGGGGCGTTTTGCGCGTTATTTGGGTCGCAGGATTTTGCTAAACATATGCTCTCAATCCCACATTGTTAAAATGTGTCACGCATGATGGTCCATTCATGCACCATGCACACAAACATATCAAATGATATATATAGGTCCTCCTAGAAAGCACACAGGTGCAGCGGCAAGGGAAAGTGAACAGAAATGGCTGAGTTGTGGTGACACACTGCGAATTACATATTTCTTATTTAGTACCTCTTACATCACTCTTACATCTTGTTACAGCATGATTTTCAGGCATTTGAATCATGAACCTTAAACCATTGGAATTTTCCATGCAATGGAAGCTTGAGGTTGAATGCAAGTGCTGAGCCAGCAAGCTGGCCAAAAAATGAACTTTTGCCACCAATCTCGCGCTGGCCATTTGATTTTTGTTTTGTTTGCCTCCCAAATCATTTTTCAAAAGCTCCAAAGCTAAGAATGACACAAATTTGAAGTTATTTTTTCTCAGAGAGCTGCGCATGGCATTTTGCTTCGACTCGTTTCAGGTCATCAACTGTCTCAAAGCCATGCCTGTCTTCTTCAACAAGTCTTCTTGGCCATTCTCACCTTCACTGGCGAGACCTTCTAAATTTTCAAAGAAGCAATTTTTCAAAAAATCAATAATGTATGAACATGTACCCCACCCCCCAGACCGTACCTGCGATATAGGGTGGAAGAGACCTGGATCTTTTGTTAAAGTCGTTCTATGTATGAACATGTTCAAAAAAGTTTTTTTAAACGTGCCACGCCACCACACCTCACCCCACCTCCAAGACCGCACCTGTGACGTAGCGTGCGCAAGACGTGGAATTTATGTCAGAGTCAATCATGTGTGAAGATGAACATGAACGTTGACGCCCCACCCCACCCCACCCCCAACCTGACGTTGGTGGGACCGTAAAAGATCCGTCTGCAAAAACACGGACACTCACACAAGAGGGCTAGCAAGCTGACCATTAACGGAAAGCACAGACAGGGCCAGCAAGCTGACCATAAACCAAAATCGACAAAAACAGGGCCCGCAAGCCGACCAGCAAACAACTAAAAAACACCAACTGGGCCAGGAAGATGACCATAAACCAAAAACACCAAGCTGATTCTGTCCGCTTGACAAAACTTTCTCTTTTCCGCAATCGTTCAAGTCTATACCCTTTAAAGACGTAACTACCTTGGAGGGCACAGGCTGCCCCTTCTAAGATGCAATGAACCTCTGTAGCTTAGCCAGAGCGTCGGCGATTTGCCGAAAAGGGCGTCTGCTTCAGGATCACCAAAGATAATGCTCCTGCATACTGTCTCTGAACCTCTTGGTCTTGCAGTACCTGGCACGGTTGAAACTCTGGGCAGGATGGCCTTGCTCGGTCAGGCAATGGACCAAAAGCTGGTGTCTGCAAATCAAATCTTGCAATAGTCAGGATGCCGCTGAAGTTCTGCAACACCTGAGCTTTCTCCTGGCACGCTGCACTAATTACAGTCTAGATCCAAACACCATCTGAAGTGATCGCGGTCATGGCAAAAAGGCAAGGAAAGAAGCGGCTGCAATTTTATATGTTAGTGACCAAATGGCTGTGGCTCATGAACATATCTTTTAGAATGTGAACAGAAACTGCGTGTAAATGTTTTCTGGTTGCATGACATTCAGCACTGCGAAGCGGTTTGGCGAGGAAGCAAGCATCGGACCCCAACCATAAACACACAAAAAGAAACAGACACACGGCCAGCAAGCTGACCATCAACAAGAAAGAAACAAACACGGCCAGCAAGCTGACTATAGGCATGAAAAAGGGTCAGCAAGGTCAAGCCTGGTTCAGGGATTGAAAGAAGAGGAGAAAAAATACGCACCAAGTGCGTTCGGACTTCTGATTGTGTGTCAAAAATGTATGACTTTCAAGACATGTCTTAAGGCCCAAGTTCATGACCTGATGAAAATTCCTGCTTTACACACATCCTGCAATGGACAGCTACTCCAGAACAAAGAAACAAATATCGTTTGAAAAAGAAGCTTCTTCAACTGCAGCTTTCGTGGGATCTTGGTATTTTCTCAACTGACCGCTATTTTTGGCACAGGTTGATGAGTTTTATGCGGCTGCCATGTGTAGCATGCCATTTGTGACGCAAGGCGTACGCCCTACACCGTCCATGGCAAAAGCTATACTATTATACTGAAGCGAGCACAGGACCGCACACGCCCTTTAATTTGCGGTGTCCATGCGTAGCACGCCACTTTTGGCGCAAGGCGTACGCCCTACACCATCCATGGCAAACGCTGCTGAAGCAAGGACACCAGACGTGCCAGGCGCATGCCGCGAAGCAAAAGCTGTGACAGCAACGTCCGAATTTGCATTCATAAGAAGACATCGGGCCAACCAGGGGACCCGGATCATTTTGAAACACCGGATAAGGCTCATTTTGAAACACAGAGGATAAGGATCATTTCGAAACACAAAAGCCCCGGATAAGGATCATTTTGAGACACATCAAAGATACTGCTGTTTAAGACATCTGGAAGGCATAGCATTTCTTTGTAACCACCATGGCGCTTGTAACACCACAGCACATTGATGAAACCCTAGCAAATCAGCTCTTCAAACAAAAACAATCAAAAAAACAAGTTAGCTCTTACAAGGAGATTCATCCCTATCATAAATGCAATGTGACCGCAAAAGGCTTGAGTCTTTTCCCGTCAGCCATCTATTTGTGGCAGCTTTGTCCGGCAATTCATGAGGATCTCGTTCGAGACACGTATCAAAAAAAATAAAAATGCATCAAAAAAATATCCAGCACGCATCAAAAAAAATATATATGCATCAAAAAAAATATCCAGGTGCCACTGTGTGAGACCTCACGGGTTTCGTGCTGCAAACCTAGATCAAAAAAAAATATCCGTATCAAAAAAAATATCATAGAAAGAAGCAGTCTCGATGGATATCAGCAAAGATGAAATTAACCCAAATAAACGATGATGCTTATGCAAAAAGAAAGGAATAGTAGGTATAGCAAGGGGAACCGGTTTAAAAATAAAACCGGGTGGGGGGGTGCAGGGGGGAGGGCGCAGCGCCTCCCCCCGCAATGCGTACCAAGAGAGAAGCACATAGGCACAAGTCTCAATGGATATATTGCAAGTAAGAACGACAAGATCAAGAAAGAAGCACATAGGCACAAGTCTCGATGGATGTTTTGAAAGAAGAAGAAAGAGAAAATGAACCCTAAGAAACGATGCTTATGAGCAAAAGGCAAGAGAGTAGGTAGCAAGGGAAGCTGATGAAAAAACAAAAGCGGGTGGGGGGTCCCCTGCAATGCGTACCAAGAAAGAACATGAAAGAAGTACATAGGCACAAGTCGCGATGGAGATCAATGAAGATGAAATGAACGCAAATAACCGATAATAAGTGTTGACTGCACACATGGTCCTTCCTTCCTTCCTTCCTTCTTTCCTTCCTTCCTTCCTTCCCTTCGTTCCCCCCTTGCATCCTTCCCTCCTTCCCTCCTTCCCTCCTTCCTCCTTCCCTCCTTTCCTCCTTCCCTCCTTTCCAACTTCCCTCCTTTCCTCCTTTCCTCCTTCCCTCCTTTCCTCCTTCCCTCCTTCCTTCCTTCCTTCCCTCCTTCCCTCCTTCCTTCCTTCCCTCCTTTCCTCCTTCCCTCCTTTCCTCCTTCCCCCCTTTCTTCATGGTCATTTATTTTTTTTGATGCATTTATATTTTTTTTGATGCATCTTTATTTTTTTTGATACATTTTTATTTTTTTTGATGCTTCTCCCGATCGTTCCCAAAGAGGACCAAAACCCCTTTTCACCACGCCATTTGGTGGAAGATACCACTGTGACCGTGAATGTCATGGTCTTAGACATGCCAAGGAAGTTTGTCTGACGCCACGATGTCACAGATGTGGCCCACAGTCAGACGTTCCCCAACATAGGCTGTATGCGATCTCACATGGATATGCACTTCATGTTGATTATCAGCATTGTCGTGATGCGGGATCCAATGGTCCACTTCGGGCCTTCAATCCATGTGCGATTTGCTGCACTGCAGATGATAGACTTGTTATGACTTGTTTAGAGGGCTTGGGCTGAATATGTGGTCAGTGGAACTGATCACATAGGGGGAGTGCGTGTAAGAATTCCATGCATCCCTATTTACCAAATTCTCAAATGGAAATACTTCCACTTTTGCTTTGACTTCAACCCACCGGGTGTTGTCCAGACTTCAACTCACCGGGTGTTGTCTAGGAATCCTAAAGAACCTGCATCTGGGCCGGACCGAAGCCTTTTAGATGTCAAGCGGCACAAAGGTGCGTCAGCTAGCAGCGAGGTGGCTGCTTGGAGTTTTGGGGAAACTTGGTTTTGTTTTTTGGGTTGAAACATTTCTTTTTTCCGGCTGGGGTCGGGATCTCAGTTGCTGTTCAGGGTTCCAGGACGGTTCACTTGTTGGCATTGGGAGGCTTCAGGAAACACAGAAACCATGGAAACCGTGCAAACTATGAAAACCGTACAGAAATCTTGGACAACAGGGAAACCATGGAAACCGCAGACAAATCATGGAAACCATGGAAACCGCAGACAAATCATGGAAACCATGGAAACCATGGAAACCGCAGACAAATCATGGAAACCATGGAAACCATGGAAACCGCAGACAAATCATGGAAACCATGGAAACCATGGAAACCGCAAAGAGATCATGGAAACCACAAAAACCATGGAAACCGCAAAGAAAGTATGGAAACCATGGAAACCGTGGAAACCACACAGATATCATGGAAACCATGGCACAGAGTGTGTCGCGTTTCAAAATGAGTAATAAAGTCGCGTTTCAAATTGAGTATTATCCCGCGTTCTAAAACGAAACCTTCCCGGCCAACCATGTTCAGATGACATTGCCTGTGATTTCCCATGTCATGGGAATTTGTCTTTTCCGATATTCAAGCGCATGCGCTCTTCCGTGGCCTTTTGGTTGGCTTCCACCTGGCTCAAAGTTGGCTTTGCATATGTCTGAACTTTGCGGCCGCCTCTGTTGGGTTTTTCGTGCCTTTTCATCAGTAACAACCCGTTGTCTTCAAGTTTTTGTACCGCGGCCAAGATCTTCTCTGCAATTTTGTTATCACTTCGATACTTGTTGCGTATCTTTTCCCTGATCTGGCTGGTGTTGAATTCCACTCCTCCTGAAGTGCATGGTAATTCCATGATTTGGTGCATCAACAAGTCTTCACCTGTCAAGCACGGTGCTCTTTTGGACTCTTGTGGCTGCGCTTTGACCATTTCGTTTGCGAGACTCCGTTCTTTGAAGTCCAACTTGCCTTCCATGGAGTCCATGAAGTTGGCCAAACCTGAGCAGAAAGTCCACATGTGGATGGTCTGTTCGCGTGAATGTTTAGGCATTGTTGTCTTTGGAGCAGTCTATATATATATATATGTGTGTGTGTTTGTGTGTTTGTTATCAATACATATTAATTCAAACGCATCCATGGTTGAAAAGAATTAATCTTGGTGTGACGGTGTCTGTCAATGCGTTCAAGGCGCCTCTGACAAGGTGCACTTGGCGCAGCCAAAGCCAACAGGCGGCCACCACCTCGAAGTGGTTGAAGGTCACTCTTGTCGTGGTGTCTTTCTCCTTGAAAGCAGGAGTCATTGCTTCAAAGAATTCTGCAATGCGCATATTGACCGCGGCAAAGCGGATGATGTCGCTGGTCATGAAAGAGAGCTTTGTTGCCCAGCTTTTGTCTATGTCCTTCCATTCCTCAGTTTTCTTGTCCAGCCATTCATTGGTAGCTGACCTGACTGTCTTTAAGATCTCTGCCTCAGCTGCGCAAAAGAAAATATGTTTATTTTTTCTATGCTCTGTCTGATTTGCAAGGAGCTTTCCGGGGAAACCAGTTGCAATAAATTGGGTGCAAAGTCGTATGGCTGTGTTATAGTGTGCTATAATCAGATAAGGTTAGACATGGTGATGGGTGTTTGGCAAGTTGCGGAAATCGCCGTAGGTGCCACCCGACAAGGTTTGTTGGACACCTTTCCGAGAAGCCAGTCATGTAGAGACTGCAAGATGCCAGTGCTCATTTTTTCTCCGCAATCCTCATCCTGCGGATTGCGCGGGCCACTAAACGCCACCGACATGCGCTTTGGGAACCCGTTCGGTGTTGGTTTCAAGCTCCACTCGCATGCTTCCACTTGGCCATAGAGCTTCACCAAGGCTTTGTAGCAAGTCAATCCTATGCGTTCTTGGCCAGTAATCTTGGAATCTGCTTCCGCCTGACTCCAGGTGTTGAGTTTGCTTTTCGACAGAAAAGCAAACCCTTGGCTGGTATCGGACCAAGGTGTTTGGAGTGTGTTGCTGAGCTCATCACTGATCACAGCCACGGCGCCAGTGTTGATGATAGCTGTGCGCCTGCAATCATGGTGTGTGTGTATGTGTATCTGTATGTGTCTGTGTCTGTGTCTGTGTCTGTGTCTGTCTGTGTATATGCGCATGTGAGGCCTGACAGCTCTTTGAATGAGCAATATTTCTTCGGGGTTTCAAGATGACAATGGAACTGGATTCTTCGTTATGTTTGGTATGGCTGTGTGACTTCTGAGATCCAGACACTCCTCTGAGCGTGGCCTCCACCAGGCTGCACTGCTTCATTTCGTCTGGTGCGAATCGCGAATCCTGATGAGATGAATTCCCCGTGTCATTTATGCTTAGAATGAACTATGTCTGTGCGGTGTAAACTAACAATGTTTGTTCCTCACCGTGCCTGAAGCAAGCTTCGGGTGAACTCACACTGGGAACTCTTCCTGCTGCTGGCCGGCCCTGCAAGCATCACTGGGATGCCAGGGCTTATCTGGTGGACATATTCACCTGGCTTCACAGACAAGAGGCCGTCGGCTCCATACATCTGCTTGCTGGCTTCTTGGAGCCATGCCTGGAGGTCGGGATCTTGGGCATCACGGGCTTCTGCTTGCTCGTTGCTTTCCTCTGTGTCCTCGGTCTTCCTACGCTTTGCACCATTGCTTTCCGTGTCTCCATCTTTTGGCGGCGGGGCCGAAGAAGTCACGGCAGGAATCTGCACGAGTTGCTCCAATTGTTTCCCGGCTGTTGGAGTCAGACGTGTGGCCCTGTGTTCAATGAACGGCAAATTATTGAGGAGTGACAACATGAAGCTTTCCAAATGCCACCCGTTGTGCAGAGCGACGGCCTCCGCTGCCTTGTAGAACGGTCTGGGAAACACTTTGGCAAGTGTGAACTCTGAATCCAAGGCGATTTCCCTGTGTGTTCTTGTATCTTGCCAGATTTCGCTGAGTTTGGATTGAATTGTGTCAAAGATTTCATCGCAGGTCCTCATGTTTTGAAACAAGTAGGGGGGCCACAGCACATCCAGCACCTGGTCTTCATCTTGCGCGTTGTGCAACTTGGCAAGGAAAGGCTCGACGGGTTCCTGGATTGATTGCGCTTTGTTCTTGGGTGCGTGAAAGGTGAAGCCCCATTTGCTTGATTCGGCTTTGGGCAAGCCTGCTTGCGGTGGAGTCTCGAAGTCGGGCGGCGTTGGCGACGGCAAGGGTGGCGATAGGATCTCCTCTCGCGGTTCCTGTGGGGGAGGAGTGGGCATTCCGCTGGGTGATGAAAAGGACAATCTGCGGGCAATGCCGTCGCTTGTTGATGCCGGAGCGGGCGAATGCGGCGGCCTGGATGCAGTCTCTGGGGTTGACAGCGCTCCTGCAAGACCACTCTCAGGTTTGGTCTCGGGCTGACCTGCTGACTCGTCTGCTCCTTCTGATTCACACATTGCAATCAGCAACCTCCGAGCTCTGAGTTCAGGGGCCAACAACTTCGAGCAGGATAAAAAGCTCTAGAAGGCATCATGCTCAACGTGACTGTTTTAATGCCTGAAACCAGGGATAAATAAAGCAGGTATGTATATCAACCAAATAATGTTACTTCTATCCTGGATCGCATTTTGGATGGAAGCGGGCTATTTCAGGACAGCCTGGCTGAATGCTCGAGTGATGACACGATGCGATTTCTTGCGTCACTGTTTGCAAATGAGCACGATATGGCTCGCGAGCAAGCTCACCTGTGCACACCTACTGGCGAGCAAGCTCACCGCTGCGAATCAAGCCAATTTTTTGCAAGCCTTGCTCTCATCCAGGAAGCGGCTCAGCGAGCCAAGTGTCAAAATTGATGGGTTGTCAAGCTGGACCAGAAACGCCTTCGCAATTGCTTTTTTTTGCCGCTGCCCACTGCCCGGATGAGTTGACATGTTTGTTGCCTTTGCGATTTGCAGCATGACTTGGCCGCTATAAGCGGCAGTCTACGCATCAACAAAAGCAAAAGATACATATGGACTCACGCGCCTTTATGCTGCTGGACTCCTCAGACGCCCATGCCTATTTTTTGTCGATCTCAGAGCCATGGAGTCTGCAAGGTTTTCTTGCTTGGAGCCAATATTACGGTACTCACATGACGGGACCACAGTGGGATGCGTTCAATCGGGAGGGGCATTTCACACCCCGAAGACAGATCACGGTGCATGAATTGCAATGACATCACATACTCACAGAGGATATAGCGTGGGGCAAGCAGGTGCAGCATGGAGCGTGCAAGAAACACATGTTGTCAGCACCTTTCGAGGACATACGTCGTCGACAATCATTGTGAACTATCTATGTCAATCATTTCCATGCCGAACTCGTCTGAATAGGTGTTTGAAATATTTCCATCAACATGAAACCATACATATAGAAACACAATGTAGGAGGTTGATAAGCCCTCGCGGGTTTGCAAGTTGGGTGCAAATTTGTTGTAGTTCCACGGGTATCTGATGCACATAACAACATGTAGGCCCACGGTTCGCCATGGGAGTCAACTTGATTGCTAGCGAGCAAGCTCACGTCTTGCAGCCACTGGCGAGCAAGCTCACAGTGGAAAATCAAAGCAACATGCCGCCTAAGTGCTCTTATCCAGCAAGCAGCGCGGTGATCATTGTTCACTGAATCGTTGTGTTTCTCGGACTTGAAAAGAAAATTCTGCGTGATGGTTCTTTTCAGCCGCTGTCTGGGTGGTGTGTTTGTTGCGGTTGCCATTTCTAGCACGTCTTTGTTGGTGCAAGGCGTACGCCCTACACTCCTGAAGCACAATCACACAAAACTGTGTCCGGAGTGTGTAAAACCCAGGACCCTTTTCTCTGTCATAGGAGGCAGACCATTGAAGACCTCTGAGTAGGAGGCTTTTTGCGGGATTTCCTTTGAAGGGGTTTGGCCAGGGTTGTCATGGAATCTCAGATTTCACTGGAAGACACTGCCAAAATCCAAAATTTCTGAATCTTCATCATCCATGCAAGCACGCGCCAAAGAAAGAACTGTATCGATCTTAGTAGCAGCCAACCCATCTCCTTCCAACCATGTGGGCAACCTGTCTGCACGAGCATGTCGCAGAATGTGTCGAATCCAGAGCAAAGCTGCCATGAGGTCAAAATAGGATTTGCTCATACATCTGTTGGCCCTTGGAAATTCGGAGAGGAAATAGCTCCACACACGTTCCACCGAGACTGTGCCGCTCCTTGGCTGCTGTGCATTCCCCACAGTACATGTCTGTAGATTGTAGCAATAAATTCATTCTCCTTCTTCCTCCCTTGTCCCCGCTGGGCCCCAGCGACCCCAAACAGTGCTACAACCAAGTGCCAGATAGAATGCCTGCTAGCATGCCCAATGAATGGTTCAAACAAGTGGCATCCAAAATATCAGAAGTACGGAAAATAGACTGAAGTCACGAAGAATGTATATTCAAAAAGAATGCCAGAATTCATCTGAAAATAGGTATGTTAGACAAACAACGCGAGAGAAAGCGTCTGATAGAATGTCTGCTATTATGTGTGTGTGTCAAATAGAAGCAAATAGCATGTGGGATGATATGGCAACTAGATAGAATGTCAGTTGACGGGCGTCATTGGAAGAAACTCATTGTAGTGGGTTCTCCATTGCATGTGCGACAAGGCAATGCTGTGTTGGAGCACGCTTTCGTTGCGTCCACCAGGAACCTATGCATGTTGAGATCTAAGCTGCGTTGTGATGTTTTGTGGAGATGCTGCAAGCTTCACAGGAAGTATCAAGGCAAAAGAGGTTCAAGAAGCTACTTTGTGGCACTGGCTTCAACGGAGGAAGCAGTGCCTGTCAGGCGTTGTTGTCTGGTTTCTTCTGCGGCATTGGCTCTTGCTGCTGTCATGCTGTTCATCCGTTCATCCTATCTAGCCCATCTTGTTTCTCCAAAGGGCTCAAGAACCGGAAGAGCGTCTTCCCCAAAGCAGTATGGGCCATTGTGTCTATTAGCCTGTTAGCTTCTGGCGACGCAGCTGGTTTTATATTAGATTTTCTTGCGGTCACCAAGTTGAAAGTGTGTGTGGAACCCAGCTGCCCCAGAAGGAGTTTGCAGGCTAGTTTGTGAGTAGCCGAGGCTCTGTTGGCAGATGCTGGCCTTGCGGAGAGCGCGGCTCATGGCTCGCCAGGCCCAAAGGCCTTCCTGCCGGATGGGGCCCAGCAGCCTCCGGAAGTGCGTTCGCACTTTTTTCGTGAAAGTTGTTTTCAACCCCTTCGTATATTCGGGTACATTGTCCTTCCTCGGTAAGTTTCGATTCTTGCGCATGCTTTTTTTGCCATGCTTGTACCAACGCATGATACGCCGAATCTCCTTTCGAAATTCCTTCTCACTTTCGAATCCGAAAGGCTGGCAAGTTGGATGCAGGTCGGCTCCGAAGCGTTTGGCGATCCGGCCCAAGGTCCGTCTTGGTGGAAACCCTTTGAAGGCAGGCAGCCAAGCTTTGCATTCTTGGACCCGAGGTAAAGTGAGAAAATTCTTGGCTTCTTGTATAACACCTTCTGTGGAATGTTGGAAGACGTTTTGCCATTTGGGCCATGGATCGATGCATGCACTCCACAACAAGGCAACAGCCTCCTTGGAAAGCTGTCGCTCAGGGACAGGCAAGGCGTACGCCCTACCTGGGCCATTGCGACGCGGTGGATTGGAGACGTCGTGCTCGGGCACCGGGTAATCTGGGGCTGCCAACCGGTGCATTGTTTCGGCGTGATCTTCCATGAGGTTCTCTTTGTCGCTTGCGCGAAAATGCAAGACCTTGGCCAAGTTCATGCAATCATGCTGGGGGTCGCCGACGATGGTGCAGCCCACGGGTAGGTCCTCTCGGTGGCTCCAAATCATTGACAGGGGTGACTATAATAGAAAAAACGAATGCGCACATGAATGTTATAAACTATAAATCCTCTTGGGAATTATCCCTAGGGGTTGGACTGCCTGATTTTATAGGTACATAATCAGAACCCCCAAGAAAATTAGGGATTTGGCCATATATAATCAGGACCCCCAAGACAAAAAACAGAAAAAATAAACTGTACACAATCAAGGCCCCCAAGGTTCAGTTTGGGTGGGGGTTTTGCTCAAAAAAACAGCCAATCTGCCCTGGTCCCACCAGGTGATGAACATAATCAGGGCACCCAAGGTAAAGCATCAAAAAAACAAAAACAATTGGGATCTCTACCCAGAGGTCCTGCTTGTGCCTCCAATTTCTGTATAATTGATTTTTCTACCCTCCACAGATTTTGAGAGGAGCCCAGGCTCTGATAATACAGCTTAAATTTTAGGGTCAGAGGGGTTCGAGTTAGTGCCCCTGGGGGGGTAAAGTCCCCGAATCTATAGCGGTACCAAGTGCTGCCCTCATCATACTATTTCTCTGAAAACAGTTTCAAATACTTTAATGTATAAAATCAAGGCCCCCAAGGATCCAATCGACAACAAGGTTGGGATTCGGGTTTGATTTCAGGGTACTTTTCAGCATGGTACCAAGTAGGAACCCTCAGCATATGACAGAGATTATGGTTAAAATGGAAATCTTTTTAAAATAAGGACCCCTGACTTCAAATGCACCACACTGACCCTATCATAAACCAAGGGCCCCCAAGCTCGAGTTTGACAACCCTACCCCTCGTACAAAATCATATCCCTAACCTTTGGGCACCAACAACAGGGATGCAAACAAAACTCTCTGTATAAAACGAATGGCTTTTTGGAGCACAACCCCCCTGATTCTCCACAGCTAGTTCCCAAGGGGATAACTATAAACAATTGAAAAACGCAAACTGTTGTATCCTCATTTTCTGGAGTTACTTGTCGTCGAACAGCATCGCCTTTCTTGGTGCGGGACCAGGACTGCACTCGAAGGTCAGGCCAGAGCTCTCGATAGAGTTTTGCTAGACACAGACGTTGACCCCTGTAGTTGTCTGTAGCGTGGAACACGGGTATGGACTGCTCGATTGTACCTGTTCTTGGATATGTTGCCCTCATGACCCCGCTATAGACTCATATGCCCGCATATTGCGATGTGTTCGGGGATGTTCGGGGGCCCTTAATTTTCGTTGGCTTGGAAGAAAACACCATGCAGGGTATATTTGGCAAGGAACATCCTGCGCGCAAGCGTGAGTGCTTGAGCTGCAACAGCAGGGGCCGCAAGGTTGCTGCAATTTCCTTGTTGGACTCGGTCTTTACGATGCATGGTGGGGCTAATAAACTGCCATCGACACCTATAGAGAGGGCCAGGTGCTCATGTTGAGGAACACAATGTTTTCCACTTTAAAACAACTTTAGATGCTATTCAATCTGACTGTTGATTTCCAGATCTCAAGAAACACCACCCAGCCTGTGAAAGCGAGGACGACCCGCCCGAACCTCTTGCGACTGCCGAGGATGCGTCGTTTCCGACCCAAGCGAGGGAAGATCCTCTCCTTAGGCACCATCACTCGTTTGGCCAATTTCATGTTGCCATCGTGACGTATACCTTGCCCGTTGTAGACAAAGAGCTTGGATTGCAGAGACTCAACAATGTTTCCCAAGGTTTTACCAAAGGCTTGCCGGACTGTCCACCGCAGAACTTCGGCCTTCGGTGTCGCATGCGCCTGCCAGAGCAAATCAGCATGCAATGTCTGCGCAGCGCAAACATCCATGAGCTTGCGACGGATTTCTCTGCAATTGAGAGAACTATAGAAATGCAGCAAGATCTCCAGCAAGTAGCGCCTGGTCATGAAATGCCTCTTTTGCTGCGGCGCTTTAACAACAATGACATTTGGAAAAGCTCGAAGCACATCAGCATCTGTGACCTGGTAATTCCCCTTGTCCTCAACTTTTGCTCCACCGCTTCCCTTGCACGTAACACATCGATGTGGCTGCGCGCAAAACTGCACAGAGTGCGGCACGTCCAGAATCCAACCTGACCACATCTTGTCTGCTCTTGGCTCAGTTCTATGGGGCTCTTTGGCTGTACCAAATGTCTGGGTGTGGTGTAATGCGGCTTGGGGTGCGACGGTGACAATTTCGTTGTCGCCATTGGACATGGGACCCTTCAATGTTGGCGCTTGCATAGATGGCAGCGGCAAGGGAAGCAGGTCCAAGTTTTGAAGCTTGCCTCCAACTTTCTCCAGATGGACATCTCGCCCGTGAACTGTGGTCACCACAAGCTCGACTCTTGTGTTGGACAGATCTTGAACTTTGACTGTTGAAAGTGTTCCGAGAGAAAAACTAGTGCTGGAGTTCGCTGCTGTGTTTCGCTTGTCCCTTGCACGCACATGTGCCACGTCTGCATGAAGAGTGCCTCGGCGCATGAAAGTATCCAACACAAAGACAGTCGATCCATGTAGGTCTGCGGTCATGCCTCTGCATGGCTGACCACCTGGCTGCTGTCTGCCCAAGAAAGAAACATGTGATGCAAAGAACAAACAAAGCTATTTTGACTTGGTTGAGTGATGCAATTTATCTAACCCTGCCTGTAATGGACGGCGGCTTGTCGAGCAAAGTCTTCTTGAATGGATTCGCGTGTAGGATTTGAAGGAGCACTGCGTCAGTCCGCCCGGTAGCCAAACGTTGAGCCAGAGTGTGAAGATGCTCCGAGTCTTTGACGGCCACACGATCTGCGGCCTGTGTCGGCCCAAGAAGTGTGGCTGGGCTTGCTGCAGACGGCTTCTGACGCTTATTTGCGCCGGGCAGCACTGATGGCGGCGGCCGTTTGAGGCACTTTGGCGCCGCAGGTTCTCTTTTCTTCCGACGACTTTGGATTGGCCACTTGTACACCTCGTTGGTCATGCTGCTGGAATACGATCTGTGATACAGGAATCGAAAATATCTAGCATCGAAAATGTTTCGCAACTGCTAACTGCAAATTTCGACATGATGTTTTGTTTTGACATGCTTTTGCTCATGGCAGCATATTGTCATGAACTATATTGGGTCGTTTTAGTGTCAAGCACGTTGAAATGGACATGCTCGGCTTCAAAAAGTCACGGTGCCAAGGTAAATAACTTTCACTAGATCTCTCCTGCGCTGTCGTGTGAGTAAGCGGCAATGAACTGATCTGAAACATGACGCGCACCAAACTGAAATCGATGGTGCTATAGAAGATCAAAAATTGCTGGTCTGTGTCCTACTGCTCCACTGTGAACTCCAAACTGCACAGGCCTCTGGCTCTTGTCTTGAAACATTGTGAAAATCGAGACCACCTTGTGAAGCTTCTGGCTTGTGAGTGAGCTCATGTTTGACACCCGCTATTATGCAACGTGTATCAGGCTGATTTATTCTGTCGCATTGACAACATTGCAGAGACACATGCGGACGAAGGCGAGCCAGCTGAGCATCAGGAGTACAAGTTAGAGGCGAGCAAGCTCACCAGTAGCGACTAGTGGCGAGCAAGCTCACCATTGGCTTTTTTGCTGTTGCCCAGATGCATTCCCTGTGGCTTAGTTTCAGCTTGCTCCAGGACCCGCGTGAAACCCAGAAATACTTATCGAGCACGCGGTTTCATCCTAACTGCTCCTCACCGCAAGCGTTGACACTGCTCGGATGATCCGGTGTGATGCCCTCATTACCTCTCTTTTTGCAAAGCTCTGTGATTTGTAACACGTGCATTTTTTGACAGTAGCTTGCTTTTCGTCCAGAGGCATGTCACACCAAGCAAAGCTAGCCTTCAGGAACTATGCACCAAGACTCAAGACCTAACAAAGTGAATGCAAGCCGCGAAGCTACTAATTGCAAATAGAAGGAAATCCAAAGCGCTCAGAACTGCTCCATCTGAGATGAAGAATTGAATCCTTGTCGGCGTTGCTTGTGCCGCTCCAAGCGCCGCGCCAATTTCCGCGCAGACTCGGAACCCTCAGGAAGCGCGGCATGACATTTTTGCAGCAACCTTTATTCTTCCCCGAAGAACAAAAAAATGTGCACCAGGTATAAAAAACAATGCAAATGGAAGTCAAAGGTTCTGCCTGCAAATATTTGATATGCTTCTCCAATTTTTCTAAAGACATGCTTCTCATAAGCATCACCTGGATGAAGCGTGGGCTCGGCTTGAATTTGCCAACCTTGGAAATTTGCGCGGCCTTCTGGAGTCCAGGAGGTGGAGGTATGCGGCATTGCTGATTGTTTTCTCTCATCTTCTAAACCAAATCCTTGGGCCAAAATCCTGCAGACCATTTATTTTCTGAAGGTTGTGACGCAACAATGCTTCTGCCGGCAGAAAGAGGGATATAATATATCATGTAATCTTGACAAGAACCTGGAAACAGCTGCTTCAGATGATGATTTGCCACTGAGAACTTTTTTTGCGCAGTTCTGATCGCTCTCGCATCTAAGAACCCAGACACAGCAACATGCGCCACGCACCAGAAAACTGGTCGGCACTGTGGATATAAAGATTTTCCCATCTTCAAGACCTTCAATAATCGTAAAAGCCGTAGTCGCGAAGTTTGAGCAGGAGCTCGTGGCACTTCGCGTCAATCCTCAGCTGGGCAATAAATTAAATCTAGCTATGACCTTTTTCACGGTGGCAGTCCTGTCTTCTGTCAAGAAGCGAAGCAGCGTCCCCCAATATGTCTGCGTCTTCAGGGATAGAAGCCTGCCACGCAAGAACATGCGCGCTGAAAGAAAAGCCCGTCCAGGTGGATTTGGTTGAAAACGGCTTTGTCCACAAAAAGGCACGTTACGCAAGACTTGACAGGTCAGAAAGCGATATGAAAGAACGACTTGCCATATATGTGGCCTCAACATGGAATTTCCTGCGAATCTCCTGCAAAATCTCTCCATCTTCAGGTGTCTGAGGCGGATCGTTCATTGGTTGCGTTCTCCACAGATACTCTTCCAACAGTCCTGTCCAAGGAAGCAGGGTGCTTCTAAAGCCATGGTTGCAACATATTTTCATCTTGTTTCCCTACCTGCCAGATGTCTATATAGCCAGAAGAAAAAGTCAGAAAGAATGCCAGAGAGAATGTCAGATAGTCTGTCAGAATAGATATCCAACATATACTTACTTCCAGATGGGGTGTCAGAAACTATGTCAGAATAGTGCGTCGGGATCACTTGAAGAAAGTAGTTCTGCTTCAAACGTTTAGACAGAATAAATGGATTAGGCTGGTTCATGTGCACACACACAATTTTATTGGCTCATTACATCTCAACCAAAAAGGCCTTTAAAACGAGTGAGTTGCAACGATTCAAGATTCCACGCTGCAAACCTTCTGTACTGTGCCTGTGACTCTCATCTAGGTCTGATCCATGAGCAACAACGCACTGAGTCACGGCCCTTGACTTCCATTGTAGAAGGCACATTCGGTTGCCAACGCATTCCAATAGTGGTAAAACAGGGTGCTATTCCTACATGCTGTTGGAAAGCAAGGACTAGACACCGACGGAGCCGGCCTATGTAGATCCAGTAGCGGAGTCTCAACTTCGCGTTAGGAAGACTGGCACTGATACGTTTCTTGCACACGTGTCGTCTGTGGTCGCTGGAAGTGAAGCCATGCAAGTCACAGTGCGCACAGTAATAGGGAGCCTCAAAGGCAGCTGCAATTGGAGTGGCAGAGTGCTACTGCTAGATAAATCCCCGCTCAAGTGTCTGTTGAACTGTAAAATGGCGCTGCAAGACAGTGAGTTTTGCTCTAGTCTCATTGCATAGCATGTTTATGTGAGGGCCTCATGAAAACATTGACCTGCGCATTTGCTTTCCCAATCTGCGCAGTGCACATGCTGATGAGGTTGACTGTCGCAGTGAAGACACCATTTCCCATCATGCATCAATGTATTCAACGGATTGCAAATTTCAAACATCTCATACTGGCCAGTGTGTGAAGGAAAGGGGGCGAACCAGAACTGCAAAACACGTTCCCATCACTGATCCGTAAAACGGGTGAGGAAATGCCCTGTAACCACCTACAGACGACATGACAAGGATGATGGCACTATGGACCCTGAACAAAAAGCGTCTCTCCTTGAATCAAGGTTTCCAAGGTGGCTCTACCATGGGACATGCTTTTGTCTGAAATGTTGTTGATCACAATTGCTTCTTGGGTGCTGGAGCTGTTGCACGGGCAGGTGTGTGCGTGTGTGAGTCTGTGTGCAGGTGGGAAAAAGACGTTCCAAAATCCGTGACCGCGCCGCACTTTTTTTTCCTTTTGTTTGGGTGCCCAACTTTGATCAAAAGCGCAGCTGAGAAGCGCGACCTGCCTGGCCTGGATACATCTTGATCACAAACCGACCATTCAAGACAGACTCCCGTTCCAGACACCCGACTGTGTCCGCGCCCGCACCACACATTGCCATAGGGTCTCGGTGGGAAGATGGCTTATACTTACTGTCACACACAGACACAGTTGTCTCATTTGAGCAAAGGGCGCCACGCACAAACACAACGGCAAAAGCTTTTTGCCAACATGAACGTACATGAAATTTCCAAGAACACAGTAGAGACAATGTTTGTGGGGGAAGTTTATAGTATATTTCATTATATTTCTCCTGTGACCTGTCCTGGGAGACCATCTAACCAAGACCAACTCAAACTCCTTGTTTTGCAGCGACCTAGCAGCTGGGAAAAGGGATGGTTAAAGCCTATGATTAAACATGCCGTCAAGCAATCGAAAAGGAAAATGCCTCTGACGCCCGTGTTCAATGAAAATATTTCTTTGAATGCTTGTGCTTTGATTTAAGGCCGGCAAAATGAAATCAAACAAAGGTGACATGTCAGGACACTGCTCTACTACAGCTGGCTTTTTTCCACGTGATGCTCTATATGTATGCAGGGAAAGCCCGCATCGTTCAATCACTTGTACACGCTGAGCAGACCACTGTGAATTTCTAATTGCGTTTCTAAAGGTTCGACATAAAGCTAAGAAGTTCAAAGCTCATTGGCACTGTCGTTACCAGTCCCAACTTCAGCGCAAGTACTGCAAGTGCATGACGAGCTGAAGACACACCGATCAGATCGATCAGACAGGTCCTTCATGATCTGTAAGCACAATTCCTCAGCACAACGTAGAAGGGACCTGCTGATGTGGCACTCCCTCTCAAACTGCCTCTTTGAAGCAAACACTGCCTGTGGAGCGTATTTGCTGCCATCCAAGCCGAAAGCCTGGAAAGCATCATGCAATCCTGAGACAATGCGACGCCTTTTTGCAAGTGTCGCGTCACAAGGACCCACGACAGTGATTGTGAGATCCGGAGAAGAGTGTGAGCCCATCAAAAACTAAACGCTGGGGGACGGCTCTGGGAACTATCAGGTGGCCTGGGGTCGATCTGAAAACTGCAATGCAAACACAGACCATTTTTAAAGTCATCCCTACCCCATTCCAAGAACAGAAGAGAATGAACGAAATTTGCTACGTGTTTAGGTGAAATTGCTTTGGCTTGGTCATGTTGAATGTCGCAGGGAAGACACTGTTCGCCATCGTCAATGTATTCAAATGATTTTCGAATGTCAAAAATCTCATATCCTACATGTTGCAAAGGAAAAGGGACGAACAACCTCACCATCATGTCAAGGGGCGAGCAAGCTCACCATTAGCTATCGAGTGGCGAGCAAGCTCACCGTTGAAAATCAAAGGAACATGTTGCCAGCACTGATCCACGAAGTTGCTTAGAAATGCATTGCAAACAGCTACAGTGGACATGGCAAGGATGAGGGCAAGGTAGTCTTGCCTCGATCAACATCTCTGAGCGCATGATAGCATAAAGGGCTAAAGTGCAAGACATGTAACGAAATGGCCTTGTTTTTCTAAATCAATGCGTTTGAAGCAACTGGTTACTGTCTGATGGCCGGGCTCTGGCAAGGCGTACGCCCCGCCAGGGCCTTTCTTTTAAAAATGGATCTGAAGCACCTGGTCGCTGGCAGATCACTGCACCCTAGCAAGGCGTACGCCCCACCAGGGCCTCAGAGGCCAGTCAACTGTGGCAGTCTGACAGGTAAACCGAAATCAACTACCTAGAAACCTCTCAAGACGTTTCGCAAGCATCATCTTCGTGACATGAAATCAGATCCATGAGCAGAAAACTGGTGCAATGAACGACAACTGTAAATCACAACAGAACATAAAAGCAAAAGTATGAGCACGCGAAGACTCGAACTCTTCTCTTCTCTCTCCCCGCTGACAACTGTCTCTATGCCATCACCTTTGGCCATGGACTTTCAAAGCAGGCTAAGATGAAAAACGGTCCTTAGGCTCTCCAAAGTGGTACGCATTACCGATGATGCGATAAAGCCATTCACCGTCTTCGACGTCATTCTCTTGACCGTAGATGCCTCCCACCCATCGATACTCACCAGGTCCGCACCTGACCAGAATTCCTTGTTCCATCTTCCTCATGTATCCCAGGGGTGAGATCTCAATTCGCATGGCCAGATATTCTCGTTCCTCTTTGGATTGCCATCCCATGAAAGTCTTGGTCCGTTGAACGGCCTTGAACATGGTACGTTTCAGCCCGAATCGTCCAGAGTAAGCGTCTGGAACCACCTCATTGCCTGCCATCATAGATTCAAACTGTGCTCTTGTCAGGGCAATCCACAAGGTAAGCGTCTTCAGCTTTGAAGCATCCACTATGTCTATCGTCAATGGTGGAGGCACCCTCTCCCCCCTTGCCATCTTGGAAGGAGGTTCCCCACGATCCAATCCAGTTGACATTGGTAAGTCACCACTCACAGGAGCCGAGTTTGAGAGTTCTCCCTGAACATCTCGGCGGCTTGAGGCATCTCGGCAGCTGGTTGGCGCGGGCTGGGGAGCCACGATGGCTTTGGATCCTTTGGTCTGGGCGGAAGACTTTGGTGGGGGTTCACCCTTGCCTTCAGGAGTAGCACAGTTTTCGTCACTGTAGTCACTGTAGCCATAGGAACTTGACTTGTCTGATTGCTGGTCTTTCTTGACCTCTCCAGCCCCAAGTTCAGGCTGCAACGCCATGGCACCAGCGCCCAGAGGGCAACTGACTATATAGCAAGTTCGAAAAGGCCACCTGAGATAAATTATTGTGTTCTTCCAATATTTCTTGATTTGCCAGTCAAAGTGACTTTTGCCGTTGTGCTGCCAGGGGTTGGCGGTTTGTACTTGAGCCGGTGGCTGGAATGAATTTGAGCAAAGGGCGCCACGCACAAACACAACGGCAAAAGCTTTTTGCCAACATGAACGTACATGAAATTTCCAAGAACACAGTAGAGACAATTTTGTGGAGGGTGTTTAGGTGAAATTGCTTTGGATTGGTCATGTTGAACATATCTTACATGGTTCAATCGAAAAGGGACGAACAACCTCACCATCATGTCCAGGGGCGAGCAAGCTCACCATTAGCTATCGAGTGGCGAGCAAGCTCACCGTTGAAAATCACAGGAACATGTTGCCAGCACTGATCCACGAAGCTGCTCAGAAATGCATTGTGAACAGCTACAGTGGACATGGCAAGGATGAGGGTAAGGCAGTCTTGCCTCGATCAACATCTCTGAGCGCATGATAGCATAAAGGGCTAAAGTGCAAGACATGTAACGAAATGGCCTTGTTTTTCTAAATCAATGCGTTCGAAGCAACTGGTTACTGTCTGATGGCCGGGCTCTGGCAAGGCGTACGCCCCGCCAGGGCCTTTCTTTTAAAAATGGATCTGAAGCACCTGGTCGCTGGCAGATCACTGCACCCTAGCAAGGCGTACGCCCCACCAGGGCCTCAGAGGCCAGTCAACTGTGGCAGTCTGACAGGTAAACCGAAATCAACTACCTAGAAACCTCTCAAGACGTTTCGCAAGCATCATCTTCGTGACATGAAATCAGATCCATGAGCAGAAAACTGGTGCAATGAACGACAACTGTAAATCACAACAGAACATAAAAGCAAAAGTATGAGCACGCGAAGACTCGAACTCTTCTCTTCTCTCTCTCCGCTGACAACTGTCTCTATGCCATCACCTTTGGCCATGGACTTTCAAAGCAGGCTAAGATGAAAAACGGTCCTTAGGCTCTCCAAAGTGGTACGCATTACCGATGATGCGATAAAGCCATTCACCGTCTTCGACGTCATTCTCTTGACCGTAGATGCCTCCCACCCATCGATACTCACCAGGTCCGCACCTGACCAGAATTCCTTGTTCCATCTTCCTCATGTATCCCAGGGGTGAGATCTCAATTCGCATGGCCAGATATTCTCGTTCCTCTTTGGATTGCCATCCCATGAAAGTCTTGGTCCGTTGAACGGCCTTGAACATGGTACGTTTCAGCCCGAATCGTCCAGAGTAAGCGTCTGGAACCACCTCATTGCCTGCCATCATAGATTCAAACTGTGCTCTTGTCAGGGCAATCCACAAGGTAAGCGTCTTCAGCTTTGAAGCATCCACTATGTCTATCGTCAATGGTGGAGGCACCCTCTCCCCCCTTGCCATCTTGGAAGGAGGTTCCCCACGATCCAATCCAGTTGACATTGGTAAGTCACCACTCACAGGAGCCGAGTTTGAGAGTTCTCCCTGAACATCTCGGCGGCTTGAGGCATCTCGGCAGCTGGTTGGCGCGGGCTGGGGAGCCACGATGGCTTTGGATCCTTTGGTCTGGGCGGAAGACTTTGGTGGGGGTTCACCCTTGCCTTCAGGAGTAGCACAGTTTTCGTCACTGTAGTCACTGTAGCCATAGGAACTTGACTTGTCTGATTGCTGGTCTTTCTTGACCTCTCCAGCCCCAAGTTCAGGCTGCAACGCCATGGCACCAGCGCCCAGAGGGCAACTGACTATATAGCAAGTTCGAAAAGGCCACCTGAGATAAATTATTGTGTTCTTCCAATATTTCTTGATTTGCCAGTCAAAGTGACTTTTGCCGTTGTGCTGCCAGGGGTTGGCGGTTTGTACTTGAGCCGGTGGCTGGAATGAATTTGAGCAAAGGGCGCCACGCACAAACACAACGGCAAAAGCTTTTTGCCAACATGAACGTACATGAAATTTCCAAGAACACAGTAGAGACAATTTTGTGGAGGGTGTTTAGGTGAAATTGCTTTGGATTGGTCATGTTGAACATATCTTACATGGTTCAATCGAAAAGGGACGAACAACCTCACCATCATGTCCAGGGGCGAGCAAGCTCACCATTAGCTATCGAGTGGCGAGCAAGCTCACCGTTGAAAATCACAGGAACATGTTGCCAGCACTGATCCACGAAGCTGCTCAGAAATGCATTGTGAACAGCTACAGTGGACATGGCAAGGATGAGGGTAAGGCAGTCTTGCCTCGATCAACATCTCTGAGCGCATGATAGCATAAAGGGCGAAATTCCGCTGCAATGCAAAACATGTAGTGAAATGGCCCTCTTCGCAATTTGGGCCGTGCATGCAGTGACTTGGGCTTGAGAATCTGCATCACAATGACTTCACGCTATTCTATGATGATGGTAATGTCAGAAGATACAACAAAGTATTCATTCAATGTGTTTGCCTGGCTCATGAAAGATGTCACTCATTGCAGCAGGGCCAAATAGCATTGTTTTTTTGATACAAATCCGTCTGAGGCAACTGGTCACTGGCAGATCGCCGGGCCCTGGCAAGGCGTACGCCCCACCAGGGCCCCAGAGGCTGCCATCAACAGCCACAGCCCAGGATGGGTTCATCCAGTGGTTTTTTCAAAAAAAGGCATCTGAAGTACCTGGTGGCTGGCAGATCACTGCACCAGAGCCTCAGAGTCTGCCTTTTCAGCCACAGTCCACATGGTTTCATGCAGTTCACATCACCTTCCCCGATGGTTTTCTCATGGCAGTGCGATTCTTGGTCTTCCGGGGGTACTTGGGCTCCACATTCTCCAGCCACTGGACAGGTGTCAATTCCAGAGCAATGACTGGGCCTTGATATTTCGCACCAAGGCCTTTGTAGATGTCCTGGGTTGCAAGACATGACAATGGAAGGTACTAACGGTTTGCAACAGGAGCACATCAAGTTAAAGTCAACTCATATCTGAGCAATCGATGTATATAGATTTCATGGCATTGGCATTTGAAATACTTGCCATTGAGACACCAGTGCCTGCTCCATGGTCTTGCCAGGAACACAGACTTGGACTCCCACGCTGGTCAGCATCTCCTTGATGCTGTTAAACTTTGTCTTTCTCACCAGGCGGGTCACCAAACGTTCCTTCTTGTACCAGTGCCACTTGATCAGTCCACCGTCCGGCAAATTTTCGTACTTCTTTTCACAAGGTCTTGCCTCGATCAACTTCTCTGAGCGCATGATGGCAAGGGCGAAGTTACGTTTCAGTGTGAAACATTTAACCGTAGCCATGTTCAAAACCACGGGGCTTGATTGACTTGGGCCTCAAAGTACTGCGTCACAATAATTTCACGAAAAAACATGATGGCATTGTGTCATAACAACAAATGACTGGGCGCATTTCACAAAATATTCATTCATGGATGTCACTCAAAGCTCCGGTGCCAGAAAGCACATTTTTTGTTAAAGGAATTGCGTGTGAGGCAACTGCCATGGTCATTGGCAGTGGGCCCTGGCGAGGTGTACGCCCCACCAGGGCCTCAGAGCCTACCGTCTGCTGTTGTTGTCACACCATCTTGTGCCAAACATTTACATTCTTCTGCCTGCATCGAAAGGAAGGCAAATCCCTGGCCGGTATCAGACCATAATGTTGGGAATGTGCTGCTGATCTCGTCAATGATCACAGCCACTGCGCCCAGGTTTAGGATAGTCTTGCGCCTGCAAACACAGCGCTGTGCCGGACAGCTCTTAATTCGAAACAGCTTACACAGGTATCTCCCTGTAGGAAAGGTGACGGAAAGATTAACCGGATACTTTGTGCGTGTTCGCTTGCATGGCTACGGGAAGGCTGACATGGCAAGGAATCCGAACCGAATCACTGTTGAACTTTTTTTATGCTGCCAAGAAGCGAGGCAACAATCCTCCTTGCATATGCATGTTCGTGGACGAGAGCCTGCCAAGGATGAACGGAAGCGCTGAAAGAAGAGCCCGTCTAGTGGGAACCAATGGAAGAAGGAGTGAGGAGAAAGACTTGACAGCTCACATCGCGATATACAAAACAACTTCATATAAAATATGGCTCCAACGTGAAATTAGATTTGCATCTCCCGGGATCCTCTTCATTGTCATGTGTCCGAAGCGTATCGTTGATCGATAGTGTTCTCCACAGATACTCTTCCAAAGGTCCTGTCCAAGGAAGCCAAGCCCTTCTGAAGCCATAATTGCCATAGTGACAGGATGACGTGATGCAAGGAGGATGCTGGAGCATTTGCAGAAACTCTTCTATCACGCATTTGCAGAAACTTTCGTTATATCTAAATGTCTGAAGAGTCTCGCGCTATCTGTCCTGAAAACTCCTGCCCAAAGGCCCCGGCCCCAACGGCATCCACGCCCACACCACACATTGCTAGGGTCTCAGTGGGATGAGGGTTTAGGCGCTGTCACGCGCATTGTCTTACTCGAGGAAAGGGCGCCAATGATAAACGCATATGCTGCTGACTCGATCATTATGCCAGCATGAGCGTGAATGAAATTCCCATGAACCAAGTAGAGACAAAGTTTAAGGTGGCTGCTCAATATGGAATCCTAAGTCAAGAGGATGACGGCAATCTGACCAGCAGTACTAAGCTTGGAATTTTATGGAGCATTGTTACAATAGCATGGAAGATACAAGTGTTCATCTTCAATTATATGGAAGATACCATTATAGTTTTAGGCAAGCGAGCTCACCCGAAAGTACTGAGGCGAGCAAGCTCACCTGATGTCCATGCACAGAAAAAATGCCCTCCAAATTAGAGCAACTTCTTGGAACAACAATCACGTAGCAGTGGCGGCCAAGTGGGCACAGCGCAGTCTAAAACGGGATTTCAAAACGGCCATGCTGGTGATGATGATGGTGATGACGATGATGATGATGATGATGACGATGATGATAGTGATGAGATGAGGAAGATGAGACGATCATAATCATGATGATTGCGCTGACCACGACAGTGGTGCTGACGGAGGCATCATGACTGTGGTGTTTGGTGATGGTGATGATGCGGATGTTGAGGTCGATGACGCGGATGATGTTGACGACAAAGGCGATGATGATGATGATGATGATGATCATGATGATGATGATGACGATGATGATGATGATGGTGACGGTGATGGTGATGCTGCTGCTGCTGATGATGATGATGATGATGACGATGACGATGGCAATGACTTTGACGGTGACGGTGATGATGATGGTGTTCATGATGATGATGATGACGATGATGATGATGATGATGACGATGACGATGACGATGACGATGACGATGGTGGTGATGACGTGTGTATGCCTTGCTCATCATGGATGCCATTCATTGCACCAAGGCCACGGAATTCTAATTTTCTTCGCAAAAAATTCGTCTAAGGCAATCACTGGGCCCCGGCAAGGCGTACGCCCCACCAGGGCCTCAGAGTTTGCTGTCTGCTGAGGTTCTCTGCGGCCAGGCAAGATCTTCTCTTCATTTGTGGCATCGTTTTGCCAGCGTCAAGTCAGAGACAAAAATTGTTTTTCTTTTCGCGTGGCGAGCGAAGGTCTGGCAATCTTCGAACAATCTGACATCAGCCACATCGCGTGCCATAGTTGGGGGGATAATACCTGACTTTTTGGGCTAAAAACTATTAAAATCTGGACCAATACTGAATATCTGAAACCAGCAACCAGAAGTCATTGGTTACATACCCATCAAATATCTGCAGTTTAGATCATTAAATCATATTAGATCTCCATATCTTTGTTGGAGTCGATCATCTGGAGTCCATTGGTGGCCATCTCCTGAGTCGATCATCTGGAAAAGCTCCATCAAATCCTGGGAGTTTTCATCCAATGGAAAGGCAAAAGGTAAACATGGCATTTCGCTGGGGATTTCGCTGGGGATTTCGGGGAATGAAATTCCATGAATCATGGGATGTTTTGGGAAGAATCCTTTTGAGCCTACGGCGTAGGCCCTAGATTGTATGCCGCCAGGTCGGGGTGCAGAGGGTATGGGGGTCTTATATGAAAAATCACGCACTTGGCAAATGCGGCTATTGCTGGCTGCTAAGCTTTCGTGAGTTCTGAGGGAATGGCTAGCAAGCTAACCGTACGAGGCTCATGGAGCAGCCAACCAGCAAGCTGGCTTTGGCTTAAGTCAAAGCTTACAACAATGAATGTCTACAGCGCGCACCCTACAGATAGCGCCTGCATCAGATACGTTCGGTGCTGCTATAAGAAAACCGCGGCAATCCTCGAGCGAGGCCACCTTCGAGAAAGCGGGCAAGCTGTATCATAGTCCATCAAAACTGTCAATCACAGCGGGCCCAATTAGGCCTTGCATGGTTCGCTTAAAATTTGGTAAGGAAGAGTGTATGATGAATGTGGTAAGGAAGAGTGATGAATGAACCTGTAATGAATGAGAATAAAGTTACTATAGGTCTTGTGCATCTGCAAGCAATCTTGACAAGCAAAAGACTGCTCTTCTGATCTCGCTGGGCTCGGCACCGATCACACCAGGCACTCTGCTGAAGGCAGTCCCGCAGCCACATGCGCCGCATCCGCCGCACCCACCGGCACAAATTATATATACGTAGAAATATATGTGTATATATATATATCAATTATATATACGTAGAAATATATGTATATATATATATATATATTAAATAAAATATGTTATATATATATATGTATTATAACGTATGGATCAGAGGTATGGAATAGAGGTATGGAACGGATCCTTCTTATGGAACGGGGGTATGGAACGGTTGTGGTCCCGGAGCTTGTTCCGGACCTAACGTTTTGACTTGCCCTCATATGTGTGTATACTTACATATTCTACGCACACACACCACCATGTTGTGGCCCAGTGAGCCCCAAAGGCCACAGAGTCCGAGTGGTCCGAGTGGTCCGAGTGGTCCGAGTGGTCCGAGTGGTCCGAGTGGTCCGAGCGGTCCGAGTGGTCCGAGTGGTATCCGTTTTTTCACAACATCCTTTTGCACCTGATAGTCATGGATGGTCAAGGCAGCCTCTTTATAGGCCCACAGCTTTGGAACCCAACCTTGCTATGCAAAAGATGGTGAAATCATCTACCTAGAAATGGGTCGGTTGCCAAAATACAGATGGTACGAAATTATTTCTTTGTAAAATACAGGTGGTAAGAAATATTTCTTCAAACACCCGCCCATGCGACAAGTGACACATGAAACATCTGCCCGTGCTGGCGCGCACGGCAGAAGAATAGGAAGGCAAACACACCACGTGGCCCCAAGACACCACAGGAAGTTGGACCTGGGCGGATTGGGAAGCGCGCGCATTGGCGATTAAATAATGAATGAATGGCTTTCAACTGTGTATCCCATCTATTACTTCATGGCCTGGATTGCCTTCTTACTTGCGCAGGCTCCAAATGTTCATTATTCTTGACCTGTGGAAATGACGCAAAACCAACTAGCTGGAAAACCAAAGACCACCCAGAAAAAAGACCAAAACTCTGAAAATCGATGATGTCACCAAATTATACCCATGTTAATCAGAAAACAACGACAAACCTATGAATTCATTGGCGTTATCCATCATTTTCAATCCAACACAATCATTTTCAATCCAACACAAGCGGAGGAAGGGTTTGATGGTCCTCTCGAAGTCACTTGTTCTTAAGACATTAAATGCAACTAACCTAGTGGCAGTCTAGGTTTTTAAACTGAGGCGTTGCGTTCAAACCCGAACCATCCCATGGTTGCAGCCAGGCTCTTGTACCAGACATAAGACCGAACAACAACAAGCAAACGTTCGCACCCAGCGACCCGGCTTTTCTCAGCTTGCGGTGCCTGGTCTGCAAGTTTATTGCGTTCAAGCAAAGGCAACTGTAATGACCCTGCTGCCCAGTTCGCCCAACAAACCCAGGTGCCAGAGTGCGAAAGGCAGACGCAAAGTGGCTATGGCTACCAAAAAGGGATTATAACTTATAACATGCTATAGCCCCTTATACTGGGGTGACTATCATAAGCATGACCAGCAAAAAAATACAGGCGACAGGATGCAGTCTGTTCCTTTCAGCAAAAAGGTTTGAAACTCCCCGGGCATACTGCGCGACTGGTTGCGAAATTGAGCGCAGCAACAGCGAACATCGTTTTTCCCTCATCTCCCCAGGTGCGATGATGGCTTTGTGCACTTTGAAGTGACAAAGCAGCAAGGGTTCCATGCTTCCTCAAAAAAATCGTTCTTTGCATCCCGATGGATTGCTTGGAGGGGTCAAGGTTCCGGTTCCAAAATCCTCGCACCACAAAGGCTTTGCAGAGAGAGGTCAATCAACGATTTCATGGGCGCTGTTGGCCCGACGAATTCAAAGCAAAAAAATTGGTCGTGTTGGTGAAACAAGTTTGTCTGACGCCGTGTAGGGCATAGAATTTGCGTTGATGGGTAGAGATCTGGCCATTATGAAAACAGAAAGCAAAGGTCAAAAATTACGATGGCTCATTGGTACTAACTTTCCAAAACAATTACCAGTAGTACCGCGCAAGGCGGTGGCGGAAGTTTCAAAGATAGGAAACCTATAGGAGAGGTTGGTTGCTGTGAATGATAGATGGCAGAGCGAACCCACTGATGGACCGACAAGTGGTTGTAAACCCGGGTCTTGCCGGCGTGTGGGCAGCGACCGCCCTGGTGACTGTATCATAAGCCAGCCGGGCGCGGTCGGGAGTGGTGACAACATAGAGGTCGTCCAGGTAAGCAGCTAAGCACTCGGTGGGGAGCAGCTGTTCCGCTGCCCCGGTGAGCGCGTCATGTTGGCCAAGCGCAAAAAGGGCCGGAGCCAGCGCGTCGCCTTGCTCGAGGCCTTCGCCCTGGGGCACTCGGTGGCAAACATTGTGTTGTTCCCACCAGAGGAATTCAGAGGGGGCGCCGTACCAGGCGCGCGTGAAGGGGACAAGGGCCGGCGCGACCTCAAGCAATTTGTTGAAAACGGCCGCCCGGCTGATGGTGTCGTAGGCGCTGCGGCCATCCACAGACACGACCGTTATGCTGGGGTCCGTGTCCAGGGCAGCCGACAGAACAGCCGCCAGCGCGTCGGTGCCGGCGCGCGCGTGGAGCGCAAATTGGTACGGCCGGGTGGCAGTGTCGAACACCGCTGCATGGGTACGCGCGAGGGTTCGAGCAGTGAGGCGACGCAGCGCGTCGCCGGTGGCGATCCCGCGCACACCAGCCCCCCCTGGTTTGTGTTAGGCGGGATAAGGCGAGGGCGCGCAGGATGGGTTCCGGGACCGCTGCTTGGCCGAGTTGGGTCACTGCGTGTGTGAACAGCTGTAACCCTTCCTCGCTTTCCAAGAGAAGTTTGTAATGTTCCATGGATAGTGGCGCCGGAAAGTCCGGCTGCCGCTCCGCGCTTGGCGGTGCGGAGGCTTTCGGCAACGTCCCGCTGTGTGAGTTGGAGGGCCGTTGCCGGCTGGAAAGCAGGGAGGTGGTCCGGTAGAGGCCGCGTCAGAGCGGGAGGGCGGCGCTCTGGGTTGGTGAGAGCAGCCAAGGTAGCCGGCGTGCCGGGGGCGAGCGCCGCACTGGTGAGCGTGCTGCGCGCCTGCGAAAGATCGCCTGTGCGAACTGGCCTGCTGCTGTAAGGGAGGGAAGCACGACCCGCTCGCGGTAGGATGTAGAAGTGGCGAGCGTGGCGGCGTGTTGCCACCCGTGGAGAGCAAGGCTTGGTTCCCCAGCGTCGAGGCGAGGATGGGACACGGAAGGAGTGCGGAACGCTTCCCATGGAGGACAAGCTTCCCAGCCGTGCTCGCGCAAGAAAGCGCCGGCAGTTGCTGCGGCACGGAAACAGGCGCGGGAGGAGTGAGCGCCTAGAGTCAGCTGTGTGATGCAATGGTCGGCCATGCCGGGGCGACGTTGGGCTATGACTGGCAAAGCGTCCGCCCAGGCTGCCCAGTAGGCAGCTTCTCTGGGGGACCAAGCCTTGCTCTCCACGGGTGGCAACACGCCGCCACGCTCGCCACTTCTACATCCTACCGCAAGCGGGTCGTGCTTCCCTCCCTTACAGCAGCAGGCCAAGCCTTGCTACGTTCCCAAGCAGGCCCTCACACTGGCGCCTGGCTCACAGCTATCCCCAGCGCGCCGGCCACCACATTGGTTCCCCATCATATTGCAGGTGCATTGGTAGTTGTAATGCAGTTGTAGTTGTACTTGTAGTTGTACTTGTAGTTGTAATGTAGTTGAAGTTGTAGTTGTAGTTGTTGTAGTTGTCGTTGTAGTGGTTGTTGTGGTTGTTGTGGTTGTAGTTGTAGTTGTTGTAGTTGTTGTAGTTGTAGTTGTTGTAGTTGTCGTTGTAGTTGTAGTGGTTGTTGTGGTTGTAGTTGTAGTTGTAGTTGTAGTTGTAGTAATAGTGCAGTGCAGTGCAGTGCAGTGCAGTGCCACGCCTGCCACGCAAGACGAAGGCAGATGTCGCCAAGTGCCACGCCTGCCACGCAAAAGAGGCGCGGCGCCACAGGGGACCAGCGCCGACCAAGGCCGCCACCAGAGCCAGCCCAGCGCGGCGCACACAAAAGTATGTGACAAGTTGTGTGTGACAATGTGGTGTGTGAGAGAGTTGTGTGTGACAATAATGTTGTGTGTGAAAGAGTTGTGTGTGACAATGTGGTGTGTGAGAGAGTTGTGTGTGACAATAATGTTGTGTGTGAAAGAGTTGTGTGTGACAATGTTGTGTGTGAGAGAGTTGTGTGTGTGTGTGTGACAATGTTGTGTGTGAGAGAGTTGTCCAAGTCCAAGGGAAGGCTCTTCAGTTCAGAAGCCAAAGGTTGGAGGGCGGCAGAGAAAAGCAATGGCCCAAGCGGGTCACCTTGTTGAACTTGGGCTGTGGCGTGAAGAGTGTGGCCCGGGCAGGCTGCACCACCGTGCCGAAAGAGGATCATGGGTCACTGCAGCCAGAGGTGTTGGACGTGCAAGTCAGAAGGGTGAGGAGGCACCTGCACAGCAAATCTGGCACCTGGCAGGGGCCAACCGGCCGTCCCTTCCACTGGATCATGTCTTGAGTCTTGAGCCACCATCAATTTCTCCATTGGAAATGCAAGTCTATGGGAACGCCCGAGTTCAGGCACATTCAACTCATACAAATTGTGGGTTTTGTTTGTGAAATATGTCTCTGGAACCCGTAAACATGTATGAAATGCCACGACTATGAGGAAATGGTTTCAAAATTGCGCTCTCCGGCCGGCTCCACTCTTCAACGCTGCCAGGCTAGAAAAAAGAGCCTTGCCATCCCCAAGGCGTACGCCCTAGGGAGGCTCGTGCTCGCGCTATTTCTTGCCTGGTCAGGAGCATTGTCATCCCCAAGGCGTACGCCCTAGGGAGAGATCATGCTCTTGCTGAATTTTTGCCTGGCCAGGCATTCAAGGGAGGAGTCAAAAGCATTGCCATCCCCAAGGCGTACGCCCTAGGGACAGTGCCTGCTCACGATTTCTTGCCTGGTCAGGAGCATTGTCATCCCCAAGGCGTACGCCCTAGGGAGAGATCATGCTCTTGCTGAATTCAAGGGAGGAGTCAAAAGCATTGCCATCCCCAAGGCGTACGCCCTAGGGACAGTGCCTGCTCACGATTTCTTGCCTGGTCAGGAGCATTGTCATCCCCAAGGCGTACGCCCTAGGGAGAGATCATGCTCTTGCTGAATTTTTGCCTGGCCAGGCATTCAAGGGAGGAGTCAAAAGCATTGCCATCCCCAAGGCGTACGCCCTAGGGACAATGCCTGCTCACGATATGTCTCTGTGCATGAAGAAACAAGTTCAAAATTCCGTGCCATGAATCACGACTCCTCCCTCAAACGCCTGGGCCTGGCCAGCGGCAGTTCCGCTTTTTCTTCCCAGCCTGTGGTCAGCTTCTTCTTCGCGCCCTCCTGGCCATAATGGTTCGCCCTCAAAGCCTCCATAACACCAATGGCCAGGCCGATCGTATAGGCGCGAGAAGAAGTGGTTTGAAAGTACTCGGCCGGGTTCTGGCACGTCCAGTCCTTTTCTCGGCTGGTGCCACTGTCAACCAGCCTCATCGTGGACTTGTCCAACCGATCGTCTTGGACATCCAGCTCAAAGGCCCGGCCGTGTTTCCTTTTATCCTTCGGCACGTGCGTCCACATTGCCTCCGGGAGCGCTTCTGGAGTGCTTCCCGGGATGGCGCAGAGGACGACGGCCTTCACCACAAAATTGTGTTCTGGCTTGCGGTAGTCGCCGAAGAAGTGGGTTGTCGCGTACTTGGTGGCAACGGCGTGTGACCGCGAGGCGTACGCCCCACGGCCACACGCCGTGCCAAAGCCCTTGCGGGAATTCACTTCGCTCGCCAACACTTCTCCGATTGAAAGGGCCGAGCTCACCCCATACAGAGAGGATCCGTGCCATTCAAGAACCCAACCAGAAGACCACCGAGGCACAGATTTGTGGAGTTTGAGTTTCTCTGCCAGACCCTCAGACACAGGAGGCGGGACTTGCAGCGGGAAGAAGCGCCACTCTTCTTCTCCTGGCCGGCAGGATGGGAGATCACCCCCAGGAAATTCAAGGCCAGGGTTGAGCTGCTTGGCCAACCGAAGGTTCACAGGCCACGCTGATGGATGTGTCATCGCTGCAAGCTCACAAGAGTTCTCGACCGAGAATTTGAAATCTCGGTTCAAGAGCCATTGTTCCACTTGACGCCAGGCGACTGCCATTGGAGCTGCCTGCTTGTAGCTATAATGCGTGTCCTGGATCCATGCCCCGACCCCATCCGATTTGGTCACCTGTTCACTTCTGACAATGTTGACCAATCCCCCCGCCATCTTCCGACATTCCCTCGGCTGCAGTGTTGGACGCCGCAAATAGGCTGGCGGCACCGCCCACACCTCCTTCTCCGGATCCACCTCCTCCGCAGTCTCCGCAGAGACCCCCATGGCTGAAGAGGATGCCGCCATGGGTAAGTGTGTATGAATAGATGTGTATGAGTATGTGTAGATATGTATGTGTCTATGTGCGCTTGAATGCGTATGTGTTATTGTATGTGTTATTGTATGTGTTATTGTATGTGTATGTGTGATTACATGTGTGCATGTGTTTGCGCATGCGCTTTTGTATGTGCATGTGCATATACGTCTGTACGTTTCAAATTTCATAGACGTTCTCAGGAGAAAGAAAGCCCTCAAATTCAGCCGCAACGACGATATCTGTGACCTGCTGCCCCGGATGAACAGCAAACTAGCTTGTAAATGGGGGTTAAATCCCCTCCAAATATCGCAACGCCGTGCCAAGGCGCATGTTCCAGAATGCAATATCAAGAGGGTTCAAATATGTTGGTACAAATCCCATTCGACTGGTTGTTATATGAGTAAAAACATGCTCTAAATTTTTCAAACACCCAGTTTACAGATGGCTATTTGGGGGAATAACCATCCATTAACCAGCCAATATTAGGTACCATCCAGGTCCCGTTTGGTTTTGACTCATAGCCATTTACAAAGTATAATGAATTCCAATTCCATTTTAATCCGTGACCGAAGGAAGTTTAGAAGTCAAACTTCCGACAATATGGAGAGATGGAAAAGCCAAGATGTGAAGAGCTCCGACGGGGAGAAAGTCAGAGAGAAGATCAGAGATGAGAAGGTCAGAAGAGAGAAGATCAGAGATGAGAAAGACAGAAGAGAGAAGATGCAGATGCGCAAACAAGTAGAAATGTCGCAAACACAATGTTTTTCCAATGTTTTGTGGCTCCGGAGGGTCGAAAAGTAGGCTCGCTAAATGGCGGGTGCGGAGACATCTGGGCAGATGAGAGATCAACAATTGCACGCAGATGTGGCGCGAAGCACATTTTGAAGTCAAAATGCTAAAACACCACATGTTCGGAACACTTTTGGAAGTTGAGATGTGGAAACAGTGCACGCCATTGTGGCGCGAAGCAAATTTGGAAGGGCAAAGTGTCAAAACACACCATCCTCGGAGCACTTTCGGAAGTTGAGATGTTGAAAAAGTACACGCCGTTGTTGCGCGAAGCACATTTCGAAGTGAAATGGTACAAAGCACCTCATTGTCGGCGCACGTTTGGAAGTTGAGATGTCGAAAAAGTGCACGCCGCTGTGGCGCGAAGCACATCTGGAAATCAAAAATGCTAAAAATTGAGGGTCTCGGGTCACTTTTTGAAGTTTGGACGTGACCAGACAACAACTGCAACTACAAGTACAAGGACAAGTACACTTACAACCACAACCACAATAACAACTACAACTACAACCACATTACCACTACCACTACCACTACAGCTACAACTAAAATACCACTACCACTACAACTACAACTACCACTACAACTACAACTGCCACTACAACATACAACAGCCACAACTACAACTACCACTACCGCTACAACACCAAACTCCAACTACAACTACAACACTACAACTTCAACTACAACTGCAACTACCACCACAACCACATCTACAACTACATTACAACTACCACTACCACTACAACTACGACAACTACACTACCACCACGAATACAACTACCACTACCACTACAAACACAACTACCACTACCACTACAAACACAACTACCACTACACTACCACCACAACTACAACTACCACTACCACTACAGTTTCAACTACCGCTACAACTACAAATGCCACTACCACCACAACTACCACTCCTGCTCCCACTCCCACTCTCACTACAATAACTACAACAACTACTACTACAACTACAACTACAACTGCAACTACAACTGCAACTACAACTGCAACTGCAACTCCATCACAACTACACTGCGCTGCCTCCAACCACTTGTCGGTCCATCAGTGGGTTCGCTCCGCCATCCATCATTCGCAGCAACCAACCTCTCCTATAGGTTTCCTATCTTTGAAACTTCCGCCACCGCCGTGTGCGGTACTACTGGTATCGCCATTGTATCCCATCTTGATGGCTAAAGACCCATTAAAACACAATGAAATCACATTTTTTGATGAAATTCGTGAATGTTATTCCCCCCAATATGGTGGTCATAGGTTTTGACATGGTTTGACCTATCCCCAAATGGTTATTGAAAATGAGCACACATCATCTGCCACCGGGCCACCAGTGTCTGATTCGCATTGGCGGGTCCCATGGATCCATGACTGCCATGAAGGAGCCGCGCTGCTGCCGACTGCGGAGCTTCTCATTGCTACTGACCTGGCCAATGAGCAAAGCAGTCTACCTGGGGGGAAATCTGGCGGTTGGATTTGCTAGGGAGGCCATGAAAACTTTTCCGTCTGTATATATGCATGTGTATATATATGTATTATATTATATATATACACAATATATTACGATATTTTATATGCACTCTTGGTAAAAGTCTATACATATCAAAATTTCCCAGATGGGTGAAAATGGGGATACCGGATACCTGAATTCATTGCCATGTCATGGAGCACACGAGGGTTTAAACCCAGTGGATTTGGGAAACTCTTGGGAGTTCCGTAGCTCCCTACTCACCACAAGTCTGGAGGGTTAAGGGAACCTGGGATGCTAGGGGCTGGGTTCCCAATATCCAGGTGATCAAGGGTTCATATGGGGCCACATATTAGCTAAATTCATTTAATCAATTTAATCATAATTTAGTTAACTCCGGTTCATGGTAGTTATAAGTCGTAACCTTTCAAAAATCTATATAGTCCGAAGGGATTATAAATGAACGTACAACTCGGGGGCTCCACATTGTGACCCAGTCGCTATCTACTTTTAAAGTTTCAGGGATCCCCCAAAACATGCACAAATCAGCCTATCCGCGTACCTGGGACACAGCATCACGCTCCACCGGCAGCAACGGCTCCGAGTTCATTTTGCTTGTCGGATACGAGATGCCACGCAGAATTGGATGCGGGGGGCTAAAGCTCTGACAACGCTAGACAATGGACATCTTTCTATACTCTGTTCCTGGCATTTGTGAAAAGGGGATCGAGAAAATTGAGAGGAAAAGTCCTTAGAAGACTTACGTCCGCTTTGTCAGCCTACTCTGAATTCCCAAAGTGTCTTGAAAGCAAAATGATATCAGAGTATGAAATCACACTTCATTGTCATAACACTGACATCAACTCGGAAACCATGATTAGGAAGCACTTCCAAGGAAAACAACATGTTTAAAACTTTGTGATGACATTGATTGAGAAACAATCAATGTATTCGCCACCCTGTGGGAACTAATTTAACTCCGGAAAATTCATGAACACCATATCTCAATTATTGTATGCCCCTTCCAGCCAATATATATATATATATATTACATGAAATACAACCCACACAAACCCTGCTCTGGTATCGGAGTGTATTGGATCTATGCATAAACTGGAATCCAATCTGTTTGGGGGCTATTCAATACTAGCCGGAGAGTGAATTCTCTGACTGACAGGTTTCGGCCTCCCTTTTGTAAGCTCTTTTGTGACCATAGCAGCAGTATATGCTTTTTGTTGTTTGACTTCTGACCTTCATGCGATTCAATTCTTGGATCGAGATTGTCATTGTCTTCCGCCAAGTCGGTGAGATTTGTTAGTGTTTTCAAACCCTGCTCCAACGAAAGGAATTAGAAATCAATCATCTCCAAATCCGCTTGCAAAAATTATGAAAAACCCATTCTTGTGCGAAAAACATCATGAATGGAGTTACCTCTGTGGTCTATTCACTCTTTCAGTCATCAATGAAATGTTTCGTTGCGAAACATTCAACACTACACGCCAGTCGGGGGCAAAGCCTCAAGCACCCTGAGTCATCAAATGTGAAAACTCAAGAGCACCCAGCCAGTTCCACCCTTACCAGTAGCCCAACCTAGATGCATCAGTCTTCCCAAACCAAAGCACAAAATACAACAGCAATTCACGCGTGGACGCCACCGAAAGGGAGCGAATGCCAATGCTGGAGCAAGGGCCACCCACAGTCTCTAAGTCACCGCTGCACTGCTGAAGCTTACCAAAATAGAAAAAAAAAGTGCGCCTGCAATTTATACGAAAGACGAATTCCTCTACCCCCGATGTGAACCCATCCAGAAAGGCCTATATGTATATATCTGCAGGATATATCCAAAATTATCCAAATAATTACATCGCGTTCCATGATGCCGCAGCGCACAAAATGGCGAGGTCTCGGTGTGCCAGTGCGAGCACAGCAATCGGTGTATCGGCGCATGAATGCGTGCGCGGCAGTCCGTGTATTGGTGTATCAGCACGAGCGCAGCAACCGGTGTATCAGTGCGAGTGCGGCAACCGGTGTATCGATGTATCGGTGCGAGGGCGGCAATCGGTCTATCGGTGTATCGGTGCGCGCGCGGCAATCGGTGTATCGGTGTATCGGTGCGCGCGCGGCAATCGGTGTATCGGTGTATCGGTGCGAGCGCGGCAATCGGTGTATCGGTGTATCGGTGCGCGCGCGGCAATCGGTGTATCGGTGTATCGGTGCGCGCGCGGCAATCGGTATCGGTATCGGTGTATCGGTGCGCGCGCGGCAATCGGTGTATCGGTGTATCGGTGCGCGCGCGGCAATCGGTGTATCGGTGTATCGGTGCGCGCGCGGCAATCGGTGTATCGATGTATCGGTGCGCGCGCGGCAATCGGTGTATCGGTGTATCGGTGCGCGCGCGGCAATCGGTGTATCGGTGTATCGGTGCGCGCGCGGCAATCGGTGTATCGGTGTATCGGTGCGCGCGCGGCAATCGGTGTATCGGTGTATCGGTGCGCGCGCGGCAAACGGTGTAGCGCAGGGGGTTGTATCGGTGCGTAGGCGGTGTGTTAGTGTATTGGTGTATCGGTGTATCGGTGCGAACGCGGCAATCGGTGTATCGGTGTATCGGTGCGAACGCGGCAATCGGTGTATCGGTGTATCGGTGCGCGCGCGGCAATCGGTGTATCGGTGTATCGGTGCGCGCGCGGTGTATCGGTGTATCGGTGTATCGGTGCGAAAAACGTTTAGCGGACCCCAATCCCGAACGCTATGCAAATTTACTGGACTTGTAATAAGCCTAGCCAAGTCTCGAAAGAGTCACCTTTGTCATATGTCACGTCAGTCACAGGCACTCTCATGACAACTTCAACTTGAACGTAAATGCATCCCAGGGGTCTTGAGTGGGACAGGTGCATCTTCAAGGGCCAAGCGGGAACGCGGCCTCATCTTGCAGCAAGACATGCTCAAATCGATCATGAAGGCGCAAAGGTCCAGCAGTCAACAGGCTCTGGCGAATCCCTTCCGCCCCATTTCTTGGAGGTGCCAAGAAGATCTGCCAAGTCACGCGTTGGGATGATAGGGGATCAAAGGTTTCCTGGCTGCAGGGCTCCGCTTTTGACTACACCTCACTACTCGTCACCTGTCATAACTACTCGTCACTACTTCTCACTTGTCACTACTTGTCACTTGTCACTACTTGTCACTACCTGTGGCTTGACTCTCACTCTCTCTCTCTCTCTCTCTCTCTCTTATCCCTGTCCTGTCCATTGATGCATAGCAGTGTGGGATCTCTCTGAAGCAATCCTGTTGGAGAACCATGCGTCGGTATTCAAAAGACAGTTTCAAGCTCGATGTCCGGCAAAATTTACCGTATCGCGCTTTGCAGGTGTCCTGATACTCAGACACTGCGCTGAAGCGTTTCGAGAAATCCACCAAACCCTTGCTCTTCTTCCCATGCCTTTGAAGACCAATGCTGTGAGTTTCTTCCAAAAAAAATGTGCTCCAGCAAGCTGCTCTGGTCAGTCTTGTTGTTGCTCACTGGGTCAAGAGCACACGGGCTGAAATGCATGAATCACATATACCCTTTGTGTTGATCCGGGGCTGGGACGGAAGCGCCATGATACCCCCACTGACCAGCATAAAGCCAGCAGCTGAGCCAACCTGGAGCCGAGGGTTGCTTAGAGATTGCCTTTAGGAGGCTTATTCACGAACACCGTTATAGGTACGACGTTTACCCCTGTTGGTGCGACTTGAGCAAACTTGCCGTTACTTGCACATCCTTGCCCAAACACAGGCTTTTGGTAACTTGAATAGGTGGCCGAATTCTCATCATCATTGGAAGAAGAGCTTGAATATGCAAAGAAGATCAAAGAAGCAGATTCGGTGCATTTGTTCTTTCTGGTCCTTGGTATCAACTCGCACGGCGCCTTGGAATCCTTCAGGAATGCCAAGCTGCCTTCGCTCTGACTTTTCTGCATGGCTGCTAGCTTCCTTTATCCTCAGACTGAGTGCACAATGCACAGCATCTGTTTGAACATTCGGACATCTCTTCATCTGCTTGGGGCTATACTATAGGAACTGTGCACCTGTCGTCACGTCGTCTATCCCATCACACTCTCAAGCTGAGGCTGCATATGGACTCCAAATTCACGCAACATCATCCGGCACAAAAGGAGTACATGTCTTAAAAAAGCCAGGTGGCAATCAATAGCACAGGCCCCGCTGGTTTGCCTGTCTATTTCCTGACCCTCCACTCCTGATCCTTGAGCAAAATGCATCAGCAACGGATGTTGAGAGCCACTCTGCACTGCCAATCTGCCACTACCAATTGTTTTGGTTCCAAAACACTGTGCGCCAACTGCGTGAGTACCTCATTTCTCCTCCACGTCACGGCAGTTGATACGACCCACTGTGTGGCCACTGGTGTAGCAGTGTAGCAAATGGGAATGATGATGCAGTCACTCAGAAGCCAAGCGTTCCCAGGTCATCAGCTCACCAAACTCATACCTGAGTGCAGCAGGTGCAGGGATGCTCCGATGCTCCTAGAAATCCCCATAGAGCTGAGCCACGTATGTTTTGAAGACTCGGTGCATTCCATGTGTAAATGTCCATGAGGAAAGTCCGTCTTGTACGCACATGTACATATGTATACTGTATAATGTATACATGCATATGCAGTAATGGTACGTGCAACTATGTACATCTATCTACCTGCCAAACTATCCACCTGTTTCCCTATCTATATATTCAATCCAACCCTATCTAATCCGACCTAATTTATACAATTGTCCAATCTAATCTTTCAATCTATTCATCGAATCTACTTCTTCTTCATTTAATCGAATGGAACCCCGTTCTACCCAAACAAGTCTAATCTAATCTATCTATTTGTCTATCCATTTGTCTATCTGCGCTATCCATTTGTCTATCTGCGCGTGTGGGTGCGCAGGTGCGTACGTGGGCATATATGGGCACGTGTGCGCACGGAGCGTATGCGCACACACACACACATAATTTATGTGTATATATATATATGTGTGTGTGTGTATTATGTATGCATGTATGTATGTGTGTATGTGTGTATGTATGTATGTATGTATGTATGTATGTATGTCTGTCTGTCTGTCTGTCTGTCTGTATGCATGCATGCATGCATGTATGTATGTATGTGTATGCATGTATGTATGTATGCATGCATGTATGTGTATGTATGTATATGTATGTATGTATGTATGTATGTATGTATGTATGTGTATGTATGTGTATGTATGTGTATGTATGTGTATGTATGTGTATGTATGTGTATGTATGTGTATGTATGTGTATGTATGTGTATGTATGTGTATGTATGTGTATGTATGTGTATGTATGTGTATGTATGTGTATGTATGTGTATGTATGTGTATGTATGTGTATGTATGTGTATGTATGTGTATGTATGTGTATGTATGTGTATGTATGTGTATGTATGTGTATGTATGTGTATGTATGTGTATGTATGTGTATGTATGTGTATGTATGTGTATGTATGTGTATGTATGTGTATGTATGTGTATGTATGTGTATGTATGTGTATGTATGTGTATGTATGTGTATGTATGTGTATGTATGTATGTATGTATGTATGTGTATGTATGTGTATGTATGTGTATGTATGTGTATGTATGTGTATGTATGTGTATGTATGTGTATGTATGTGTATGTATGTGTATGTATGTGTATGTATGTGTATGTATGTGTATGTATGTGTATGTATGTATGCATGTATGTAGGTAGGTAGGTAGGTATAGGTATAGGTAATATATGTATACAATGTATACATATACATACATACATACATATATATGGATGAGGTTTGGCCCCACCTTTGGTTCTGAACCATAAAACTACGTGAAGCTTTTGCATGGGTATTATTGTGTGATGTGGTGTGGTCTTCTTCTCACTTCATGGTGCTGGACTCATGTTGGAATCGATTCTAACCCGTCAAGTGCCGCTGGGATGCTTTGCCACAGTGTCAGGTCGTCTCGCTGCAAGCAGCGCTGCGAAGGCACTTGAAACACGAAGACTCAAACGCAACCCATGCTGCCTCTATCTCAGCCTCTATGCGCCTTTCAACAATGCAAAGTACCACAATAGATTGATACTCTGGTGAAACATGCACAGTCCAATTATCTACGCGTCTGGATCGCGCAGCTGGATGAACTCCACACCAGTCCTGATGAAACTGTCACTACAGAATCACCAAGAGAGGTAAAAAAAAATGCGAGCAATCTCAAGGTGACAAACAAACCATCCCTTGAAATTCTGTGAGCTACTGCTAATGAAAGCTCCGAGGACGAGGAGGTTCCTGTCGATATTTTTCTGAATCTGTGACTTTCTTTAAAAGACTTGAGAACTCAGCGTTCCTTCCTTTCAGTGTCTCCTTTGTTCTGAGCCTCTTGCTGTTCAAAAGCACGCCTGAAACTTGCCAAGCCCCCAGTTGAGATAGGACAATGAAAAAAGTGAAAAGGTGGATAGGACACAATGCCGCATGACGAAGCAATTGCTGGTGCACCAGAGGCATGGACCTCGCACCTTCTGCTCTAAATGACGTTGCGTCTACTCTTGCTCTTGAGGTCAGTGCTTTAGGTCAACCATGGTCGGCAACCTCCTTGGTTTGAATTCTGATCTCCTTTTTAACTTTGAGTCCCTGCATATGCCAATCACATCCAAAGCATCCATCAGCTTCAGACTTGGTTTCAAGTGACGACCTCAGTTCATACTGCGACCAGGAAACACAACATGTCATCATTGCCACGACTGAATGCTTCCGTCTCCGTTCTGCTGGAGAAGTAGGCTCTTGTGAAGTAGGGGGAAGTAGGTGTGCACTCAAGTCTAAGGCCCAAACCACACAAGCTTGTCTCCATGCTGAATTTCCTGCCCAAGCTAAATTCGAAGAAACAACTGGCACCCAATGCCAGAACATGATGTCAACAATTTTTGCAAACATGCAAATATGTACATGCATATTCTACATTTACATTTACATTTACATTTATAATTACATTTGTATTTGCATTTGTATTTATGCATTCAAGGATGAGGCTGGAAAACGATTTTTCCCGAATGCGTAGCAAGGGTTCCCGTTTCACTCTGGGGGTCTGGGGGTTGAGGGTCTGTTCGCTCGACGTTGCGTTTACAGTTGCGACCGTTCGCAACCGTCCGCAACCGTCCGCGTGAGGGCCGTATGGCCGTGCCTATGGCGAGTTTTGCAAAAGGGGTCTCTTTTGGAGGTTTCAAATGTCGCGTAGCCTCGTGTCGCGTGGCAGGCATGGCACTTGGTGAGGTTCCAGCATGTTTCATAACGTGTCAAAAATCGCTTTGTGTGGCAGGGGCAATACTTTTGCGACGTTTTCAGAAGATGAGGAAACATTACACTCCACACTTTACACTCCGCACTTTAGGCTTGACATTTTACACTCCGCACTCTACACTGTACACTTTACACTCTACACTTCACACTCCACACTTTACACTTTACACTCCACACTGTACACTCCACACTCTACACTTTACACTCTGCACTTTACACTCTACACTTTACACTCCACACTCTCCACATTCTACACTCCACACCCCACATTTTACACTTTACACTCCACACTGTACACTCCACACTTTACACTCCGCACTCTACACTTTCTCCACACTCTACACTTTACTTTACACTCCACACTCTACACTTTACACTCTACACTTTACACTCCACGCTTTACACTCCACGCCCTACACTCCACACTCCAGACTCTACACTGCACAATCTACGCTTTACACTCCACACTCCACACTTTACATTTTACACTTTACATTTTGCAATTTACACTCTTTACACTCCACACTTTACACTCCACACTTTACACTCCACACTTTACACTCCAAACTCTACACTCCACACTCCACACTTCACACTCTACACTCCACACTCTAGACTTTACACTCCACACTCCGCACTGTACACTTTACACTGTACACTCTACACTTTACAGTCCACACTTTACACTTCACACTTTACACTCTACACTTTGCACTCCACACTCCACACTCTACACTCTACACTTTACACACCACACTTTACATTCCACCCCCTTTCACATTCCACAGTCTACAGCGCACTGGTACGGAAACAGGGGAAAGTGCAGAAGACTGTTCAAAAAATGTTTCGCAAAAGTGTTCTATGTGACTGCATTCGCGTTCGGGCCGCATCTTGTTTTCAACCTGGGAATTAGATCTGAATTCCAACCTTGTTCATACACAATATACATATATATATGCGTGTGTGTGTGTACTAGTATGTATATGTATATATATACATTGTATATGTAAAAAATACATGATGTATGTATGTCTGTATGTCTGTCTGTATGTATGTATGTATGTATGTATGTTACATATGTATACATACATATGGATAGATTATATATGCAAATATATATATATACATATATATATATACATATATATATACATATATATATATACATATATATATGTATTATTGTTCTCTCTTGTTTGGACACCGTAGTGCGATTTCTTCCTTGGAAATCTTACCTCCGAACATCTCTAACGCGGACTCAGGCTGGAGCAAAGGCACCAGTGTTGAGAAGTTGTGCAGAGAGCATGTTTCCCACCTTGAAATTTGAAACAACTGATGGGATGGCAGTGGCTTGATGTCGCTTCATACTTTCTTGGTGCTCTCATCACTGCTGACATCACTGTGGTTGCCTTATGTTGTCATCACCGTTGTTGCCATTAACCCAGTCCGCAAGACAATGGTCATCTTCAAGAACCATGTGATCATCATTGTCAATCCCAGCGGCCCGTATCTGAGGCTGAAGCAAGCCAGATTCCCATCCCTGCCATCATCCTATTCCTGTTTCAACTGCACATGCGACAGTGATTCGAACATGGGCATTTGAAAGTATACAACTGGCCCCAACATCGTTAGATCCAAGTCCAGCACTCTTGCATCGCTGACAGGAACTCCGGCTTTGGCACCTCGCCAGAAAACATAAATCAACCCTGCAATCCACTGACTTGCCACTCTAGCTAATATCTCCCGAGCAAACTGCGAAGGAAATGTAATTCCCTGATTGCAAGATCCGTACATTACCAAATGCATTGAGAAAACGCCGAGACAACGGCAGAGGAAACAAGGGGAAGTGGACACCAGGATACTTCGATAAGGACGCCGCCAATCATGCAAAAAGTCTGTGTGTGTGTGTGCTTCAAGGACTACCCGTTGGGCAAACAGAAGAAGCCAAGCCTGAACGCTACGTGTTTGTGCCGTGCCTTCATGGCTGTGCAAATGGCATCTCCACCAAAAAGCATGGCAAAAGCTGCCAGTTGAAGTGCAAAAGCAGCCTCTCATGCAACACCAATTGCGAACGTTTTTAATAAACACGAAGCGCAAATTGAACAGGTCTGCAGTAAGGTGTTTGGTGTGTCAATTTGTGTTCATCAAATGGGGGCCGCACGTTGGACAAGTACCTTGTCAGGAAGAGGGTCGGCACTTTGCAAAGGTGAAAACAAAACAGATGGATATCGGCCGGCGACAGAGTCAGTCACCCGAGTCAGTCGCCCAAATGTCGGAGTCGAGAACTGCGCACGACAGATTCAGTCACCACTGCACTCCAGCAGGGGAAGCAGGGAGACCATGATGGAGAAACAGAAAGTCAACGACAAAGAGTCGGTTACCCCTCACGAGCCGGGAAGAGGATCAAGGAACCCGTAGGAAAACAGAAAGTCAACAACAAAGAGCCGGTCACCCCTGCAAGCCGGAAGGAGGATCAAGGAACCCATGGGAAAACGGAAAGTCAACAACAAAGAGCCCCTCAAGAAACCCTAAAGCAACCCTTAAAAAACCAAAGCCAACACTAAGTAAACCCTAGGCCCTAAAACAAACCCAGATAAGACCCTACATTAACCCTGAACCAACCCCAAAGAAACCTAAACCAACCCCAAGAAACCCTTAACCAAACCTAAATACACCCTAAACGACGCCTAAACAAACCCTAAAGAAACCCTAAATAACCAACCTTGAATAAACCTGAAACCAACCCCAAGTAAAACAAACCCTGACGAAACCATAATTCAACACTAAACCAAACCTAAAGAAACCGTAAACCAACCATCCATAACCCCAAACCAAAAACCCTAAAACAAATCCTACAGAAACCCTAAACCAACCCTCACAAACCCTGACGAAACTCTAAACATTAGACCAAACCTAAAGAAAGCCTAAACCAAGCCAAAATAGACCCAAACCGACACTCAGGAAACCCAAAAGACCTTACAATGCCTTACAACAAACCTTACGAGACCCTACCTTAGCCCTGAATAAAACTTAAACCAAGCCTGAATATACCAAACCAAACCTAAATATACCATAAACCAAGCCTTAAAAAAAAAAACTAAACAAACCTTAAACAGACACGAAACCAACCTTAAAACAAATCTTGACGAAACCGTGCATTCACCCCAAAACCAAGCCTAAATAAATGCAAACCAACACTAAGTCAACCCTAAATAAACCCTAAAAACCATGAGGAAAGCCTACACGAACCCTAAGCAACCCAAAACCAACCATAAATAGACCCTAATACACCTTGAAACAGCCCTGACCCAATCCTAAAGAAACCCTAAACCAACCTTAAAATACTTAAAATAAACCCTGGTAAAGCCGCAAAGAAACCTAAAACCAACCCCAAAGAAACAACATACAGAAGTCAACGCGGTATCACGATGCACGATCTTGATGTAACCATCATCATCGCCCAGGGCTCTGAGGCCAGCCACCCCTCGCCACTACTGGCTATCTAAAAAATGACGGATTTCGACGAGGGGGGGTGAGTGACTCAGGGTGGTCTGACTCTGCTAGTGGGTAACTGACTTCGTCTAGTCTCCACAACCCAGCGACTGGTTCATCAATGGCGGCGGATATGGACTGCCCCGGACCTCGACCAAGGGCATTTGTCATTCCGACATGGATCATGAAGAATTGCTGCGCTGCTGCATCTGCCATCAATTTTTTGCAATGGAAAGGTTGGAACGAAAACGGCGCCTCCAGATCACTAAGCGCACGTTCCTGAAATAGAATCAAAAAGCTGCATAAGCTTCACAAAAAAGACTTGGGTGAAGTACGCCCAACCGTGTGACACAGATGGGCATTCATTTTCCACATTCTCCTCACCGCACAAGAGCATCACACAAATTATGTATACAGGATATGCATGTCACGACAGGGAGAAAAGGGGAAACAAATATAGAGATATATAGATACGGTATGATCAAAGGAAGTTTAGTTAGGAAACTTCCGAATTACGAACGGTTGTCATGGCTAGCTTTCTCACCATGATGGCAGCCACATCATCACCTCAATCATCATGGCAACCACATCATCATGCAAGTAGTAGTTGGGATGTGTGGGAAGTCGGGAACGCGTGAATTCAGGTTTGAAAACACTCTCGGGCGCGAAACCCTGCATTTTTTCGGGTAAAGTGGCTGCCGTGGTCGCCGAAGGAAGTCTCTGTTTCCGCGGGTGCGCGGCTCGATCCGGGAAAGTGGCCGACAAAATGCGCACGAGACTGTAGCGAGACCTCGATTTCACATAAAAATCGTAAAAAACTGTTGGGGCCGGAGGACTTGTAAAAGATGGGGTCGGTAAAATGCGCGCGAGACTCTAGCAAGAGGCCGATATCCCCTTGAAAATGTTGAAAGAAAATAAATTGCTCGGAACACTTTTGGAAGATGGCGTCGGCAAAATATGCACATATGCACGAGACTGAAGCGAGACCTCCATTTCATATGTCAAACACTTCATGCATTCATTCATTCGTTCGTGTGTTCATTCATTCATTCATTTATTCATATTCATTCATTCATTTCATTCGTTCATTCGCTCATTCATTCATTCATTCATTCATTCATTCATTCTTTTTTTCTTTCTTTCTTTCTTTCATTTCATTTCATTCATTCATCCATTCCATTCCATTCCATTCCATTCCATTCCATTCCATTCATTCATTCATTTCATTCATTTCATTTCATTTCATTTCATTTCATTCATTCATTCATTCATTCATTTCATTCATTCATTCATTCGTTCATTCATTCATTCATTCATCCATTCATTCATTCATTCATTCATTTCATTTCATTCATTCATTCATTCATTCATTCATGTCATTTCTTTCATTCATTCATGTCATTTCTTTCATTCATTCATTTCATTCATACATTCATTCATTCCATTCACTCATTCATTCATTCATTCATTCATTCATTCCATTCATTCATTCATTCATTCATTCATTTCATTCATTCATTCATTCATTCATTCATTCATTTCATTTCATTCATTTCATTCATTCATTCATTCATTCATTCATTCATTCTTTCATTTCATTTCATTTCATTTCATTTCATTTCATTTCATTCGTTCATTCATTCATTCATTTCATTTCATTCATTCATTCCATTCATTCATTCGTTCATGCATTCATTCATTCATTCATTTCATTTCATTTATTCATTCGTTCGTTCATTCATTCATTCATTCATTTCATTTTATTTCATTTCATTTCATTCATTCATTCATGCACTCATTTCATTCATTCATTCATTCATTCATTTCATTTCATTTCATTTCATTCCTTCACTTCACTTCACTTCACTTCACTTCATTCATTCATTTCATTCATTTCATTCATTTCATTCATTTCATTCATTTCATTCATTTCATTCATTTCATTCATTTCATTCATTTCATTCATTTCATTCATTCATTCATTTATTCCATTCATTCATTCATTCATTCATTCATTTCATTCATTTATTCATTCATTCATTCATTCATTCATTCATTCATTTCATTCATTCATTCATTCATTCATTCATTCATTCATTTCATTCATTCATTCATTCATTTCATTCATTCATTAATTCATTCATTCATTCATTCAGTTCATTTCATTCATTCATTCATACATTCATTCATTCATTCATTTATTCATTGAATCATTCATTCATTCATTCCATTCATTCATTCCATTCATTCATTCCATTCCTTCATTCTTTCATTCCTTCATTCCTTCATTCCTTCCTTCCTTCCTTCCTTCATTCATTCATTCATTCATTCATTCATTTCATTCATTCATTCATTCATTCATTTCATTCAGTTCATTCATTCCATTCATTCATTCATTCATTCATTCATTCATTTCATTCATTCATTCATTCATTCATTCATTTCATTTCATTCATTCATTCATTCATTCATTCATTCATTCATTTCATTCATTCATTAATTCATTCATTCATTCATTCAGTTCATTTCATTCATTCATTCATACATTCATTCATTCATTCATTCATTGAAACATTCATTCATTCATTCCATTCATTCATTCCATTCATTCATTCCATTCCTTCATTCTTTCATTCCTTCATTCATTCATTCATTCATGTCATTTCTTTCATTCATTCATTTCATTCATTCATTCATTCATTCCATTCATTCATTCATTCATTCATTTCTTTCATTTATTCATTCATTCATTCATTCATTCATTCATTTCATTCATTCATTCATTCATTCATTCATTCATTCTTTCATTCATTCATTCATTCATTTCATTCATTCATTTCATTCATTTATTTCATTCATTCATTTCATTCATTCATTTCATTCATTCATTCATTCATTCTTTCATTTATTTCATTTCATTTCATTTCATGTCATGTCATTTCATGCATGCATGCATTCATTCATTCATTCATGTCATTCATTCATTTCATTCATTTCATTCATTCCTGTCATTCATTCATTTCATTCATTCATTCATTCCTTTTTTATTTCATTTCATTTCATTTCATTTCATGTCATGTCATTTCATGCATGCATGCATTCATTCATTCATTCATGTCATTCATTCATTTCATTCATTTCATTCATTCCTGTCATTCATTCATTTCATTCATTCATTCATTCCTTTTTTATTTCATTTCATTTCTTTTATTTCGTTTCATTTCATTTCATTTTATTTCATTTCATTCATTCATTCATTCATTCATTTCATTCATTCATTCATTCATTCATTCTTTCATCATTTCAGTTCATTTCATTTCATCTCATTTAATTTCATTCCATTCATTCATTCATTCATTTATTCATTCATTCATTCATTCATTCCATTCATTCCATTCATTCCATTCATTCATTCATTCTTTCTTTCTTTCATTCATTCATTCATTCATATTCATTCATATCATTCATTCATGTCATTCATTCATTTCATTCATTCATGTCATTCATTCATTTCATTCATTCATTCATTCATTCATTCATTCTTTCTTCATTTCATTTCATTTCATTTCATTCATTCATTCATTTCATTCATTTCTTCATTCATTCATTCATTCATTCATGCATTCATTCCATTCATTCCATTCATTCATTCATTCATTCATTCATTCATTTCATTCATTCATTCATTCATTTCATTTCATTTCATTTCATTTCATTTCATTCATTTCATTCATTTCATTCATTCAATTCATTCATTCATTCATTCATTCTTTCATCATTTCAGTTCATTTCATTTCATTTCATTTAATTTCATTCCATTCATTCATTCATTCATGTCATTTACTTCATTCATTCATTTATTCATTCATTCATTCATTCATTTCATTTCATTCATTCATTCCTTCATTCCTTCCTTCCTTCATTCATTCATTCATTCCATTCATTCCATTCATTCATTCCTTCATTCATTCATTCATTCATTCATTCATTCATTTCATTCATTCATTCGTTCATATTCATTCATATCATGCATTCATGTCATTCCTTCATTTCATTCATTCATTTCATTCATTCATTTCATTCATTTCATTCATTCATTTCATTCATTCATTCATTCATTCATTCATTCATTCATTTCATTCATTTCATTCATTCATTCATTCATTCATTCATTTCATTCATTCATTCATTCATTCATTCATTTTCATTTCATTTCATTTCATTTCGTTTCATTCATTCATTCATTCATTCATGTCATTCATTCATGTCATTCATTCATTTCATTCATTCATGTCATTCATTCATGTCATTCATTTATGTCATTCATTCATTTCATTCATTCATTTCATTCATTCATTTCATTCATTCATTGCATTCATTCATTCATTCATTCAATCATTCATTCAATCATTCATTTCATTTCATTTCATTTCATTTCATTCATTCATTCATTCATTTCATTCATTCATTGTTTCATTTCATTTCATTTCATTTCTTTCAGGTCATTCATGTCATTCATTCATTCAATTCATCTCATTTCATTCATTCATTTCATTCTTTCATTCATTCATTCTTTGGTTCATTCATTCATTTCATTCATTCATTCCATGCCATTCTTTCATTTCATTCCATTGCGTTTTGTTTCATTTCATATCATTTCATATCATTTCATATCATTTCATATCGTTTCATTCATTTCATATCATTTCTTTCATTTCGTTTCATTTAATTTCTCTGCGTTTCATTTCATTCATTCATTCGTTCATTCATTCAATCAATCATTCATTCAATCAATCAATCAATCATTCATTCATTCGTTCATTCATTCATCCATTCATTCATTCATGGCGTTTCCTTTCATTTCATGTCATTTCAAATCATTCATTTTCAATTCATGCACGTCTTTCCAACTCACCAAGAATTCTTATAAGCAATCTGGTTCCTAAACTTCTGCCCTGGCGCATGCCGGGCACTACCTGGTAAAGCAATAGTAGGGTTTACCATCATACTTGACAATGCAAAATCAAAAAATAAAAAATAACGAAATAGAGATGTGAGAATTTAAAATTGCAAAATACTATGGTACAGGTGTTCAAAATATAGAGGATAATACAAGTTC